GTTCCTGAATATGTTTTCCCTCTAGGAACTCCGAAACAAGGAACCCCCAATGTTTCGGACACCGGAAAACCCCTAACAATAGAAACCCCGAACCCCTACATACAACCTAAAAAACCCAAACCCTAAGATCCACCACGCAAAGACACAAAAACACACCGCTTTTTCCTGCAAGACAAAGCCTGTTGCCCGGAAGCTGCCGTATTTTTATCTCCCTTAAGGACCAAACGGCCATTGAAAGTAAGGGCTCTATATCCCTTGTACTGTGAATTCCTACATATTGTGGTATATTTTTCCTTAAACTTATAGTATGAATCCCGCTATGAATAGCCCATATGCTGTTTGAACCTTAAACCTTTCTCTTGGGTCTCGTTGATTCCTTAAGGTCGAAATTGGGTGAAAACCGGGGTAACGAGAAACTAATTTTCCCTCCAGAGCTTCGCACATGGAGGTTCACCAACAGTGTACACTTCCCGGTTCCAAGAGGTGGCAACGACATGGGGGTTTCCGAAATAGGGGACCCTAATGTAGTGCCTTAAATTAAATAGTAGGATCCTTATTATAAGAACCCCAAAATAAGGTACCCCTATTTTTCGGAAACTCCCACATGGTAGAGCTTACGGTGTGGGTATTAAGGTTTCGAGATGGCAGAGATTAACTCGGGCAAGAAGAAGCCCAGGGTTTATCGTTTGACGGTTTAGGGTCTAGGGGATTAAACCTGAAGCAGCATTGGGTACCGTATTTACGTAATCCAATGCTTTGCATAAAACCTGCAGACTCAAAGAGGGACTGTCTTTCAAATCCGTGAGCCTCTTATATGAAGGCGTCGGGCATGCAAAGCGTCTGAGGGCCAACATCCCAAGAGGTTCCATGTCTACTCTCATCTCTTTTAGGGGCTCGATATTAGACAAGGTTCTAGTCTCAGAGATTTAGGGTTTCGGGTTCTCAAGAGGCCAAGAGGACACGTGACGATCCCGTGTATCCCCGTCATACAAGTGATACGCGTGCCCTCTTCACATTGCTCAGGTTTTCTTGTGCAAGAAGACCCCAAAGCAAAGGGAATAAGTAGCAAGTAAATCCTTGTAACCATTCTAGGAAACTTTGAAGTTAAATTCCCTACAGACCCAAACAGAAACAACAACAACTCACTACTGCAAGACCTAGCCCAAAGCAGCCACACTAACCCCTCCATATGGGATTCCCCCAAAAACACGAAACCCGACCTAAACCCTTAAACATCCCTAAACCCCCAACTACGTATATAGTTACCCTTATAAACCCCGTACCGGAACCCCTAATTAAACACTAAAAAGTCACATAAGGCCAAAGCCCGAAGTCTTGGTGTGTCGGGTTTCGTGCCTCGTGTTAGGGTTCCGAGTTCAAGGTTTAGACCCAGACCTTCCAAAATCCCCTAATTAAGAAATATTCCTTAATTCATATTAGGGATCCTACTATAATTTAAGGTATGTTCCTTAATTAAGGGGTTTTGGAAGGTCTGGGGAGTCCAGGAGTTGAAGGTCCTACAATGTTGAGCCCCGAACTGCAAGCCACTGGTCGCCTCTTGGATGGATACGGGAACTTCCTTTCGAATATGAGCAAGAAATGACGGCCAAAGCTCTGCAAAGCGGGGGGGGCTGCGACTTCAGACATGTTCGACATGTAGGAGTGCAGCTCTGGGGCCGGGGTCTGCGTAGACTTAGAGATTAAACCTCTAAACCCTAAACCCTAAACCCCTAAACCCTAAACCCTAAAGATTTACAGATTAAAACCCTAAAGGTCCATGTACCCATATAGCATGTACTTTGGACCAATGTACCTACATAGGGAGTACTCTAAGGCCAATGTATATACTATATGAGTACATGGACACTTAGTGGCTACAAGGCTTAGAGATTAAAAGGAGAATGCAAACACTATCCGACTTTAGGGCTCAAGGCGATATTATATGTGGGAGTTTCCGAAAATTAGGGGTACCGTATTTTGGGGTCCTTCTTCATAAGGATCCTACTATCTATAGGGTACTATATGAGGGTCCCCTATTTTCGGAAACCCCCATGTTCAGCTAGAAGGTGACTGTGGCTTTTTTGAGCGTTTGGCTTTGCCCTGCACCCCAAAACCTAAACCCTTAAACCCCCCTAAGCCCTAAACCCTAAGTCCAAACCCCCAAACCCTTAAACCCAAAACTAGGATGCCCTGTAGCCTAGGAATAAAGAGGGCTGCCTTTTTGGTATTGGGTACTGTAACTGTATAAGGAACCCAGGACTACAAAAAGGGAAAGTCGGGTACTACTTGGCATCCGAGAATCATACTATGAAGGCCCGAAAAACTCCGATAATAGGGGAGTGCTTGGCTCTCTGAGTTGGTCTTTAAGGCTTGGGCAGAATGAAAAGATGTCTCAAACAGGCGAAAACCCTTAAACCCCTAAACCCAAAGCCTCGCCCCCCTCTGCAGTAGCCGTTCTTTCGGGCGGGTCTGGGCGCGACAACCCGACGGCCCATGAAGTGATCAAGAACAACTCCCGCTGGTAGGTTTAGGGGTTTAGGGTACTAGTCAGAGTCTCAATGTTTGGGGTTTCGTTGCTCTTTTGCGCTTTTCTGGTACTAACTCGGGACTTAGTGTTCAGGGTTTGGGACTTGTCTGCCATTAAATTGGGTTTCAGGGTTTAGGACTTATTCCAAACTTGCTAGTTGCGGCTTCAAGACTGGAATGTAAAGGCCTACATAGTGAGGATTGGCTGTTGTGACCTACTATCTTCTTGCTGATGGGACGACAGCATGAATGGATTCTGGTGCACACTGCGTAGAGCTTTAGTGACCCTTGTTAATTTATGGTTCCGAAACCTTACTACATGCTGAGAAGTCTTGATACGATCAGCCTTAGTACCATAAAGGTTGGGAATGACTTGAGGGGGATGCTGGTGTACCAAACTCGTGGTTGTACGGTTGATGATATAAACCCTGCATGACCCATACTAAGGAATATTATGGTATATTCCTTATTATGGGTCGTGCAGGATTTATATCACCAACCGTATGGCAGGCAGGCTATTGGAAAGGTATTGTCAGGGGGGGAATTTGACGGAACCTCGTGGTTCACGAGTCTTGCCGTGTTCTGTAGGGAATGACACCCTATACCCGGAAAACCATTAAATAATGATGGTTCGTAAGCCGTAAACTCCTGAATCCTACCGATCGGCTCGCCAGTTGTTTGTAACTCTTGAATCAAAACAGCAGGTAATGCTGGGGCCTTATTTATTAGAGAAGGCTTTGGGGGTAAAATGTAACATACTATAACCCTAAACCCTAAACCCTAAACGGTTTAGTTATCAAAAGGAGCCCCAAACACACCGTATTCTAATTATTCAGGCCCCTACACTATTTTGGAACCGTCAGGTGAACACTAAATGGCCCTATGTTGGATCCAGGAGCACTTAGGCTTTCGCCAACTTCATCACCCAGTGGCCGTGCTAAAACAGGGATCCCAGGAAGCATCCAAGTAGAGTGGACTCTAGGATTACTGGGTTGGGGTTCGATTCATATCGCGGGCTTCGGAGTCTGGAGTTAGAGTTTCGGTTGATGATATAAACCCTGCATGACCCATAATAAGGAATAAACCATAATTCCCATAGTTGAGGGTCCTTAAGGTAGTGCAGGATCTACATCATCAACCCTAGAATCTAAAGCCTAAACCCTATTTACCCCCCTTAAAGGAAGCCCTTAAAGGTACCCTTCTAGATCCCTTTAAAGGAACCCTAGGGATTTATATCATCAGCCGTTAGAGTTTGGCACATGGGCTTCGGCAGTTGAAAGGTAACGGTCGGAGCTGAGCACTGCGCCTATCTGGGATGCACTACTTAAAGGATCATGGGACTTCGTAACTAGTAGGGTTCCTTAAAGGGTTCCTTAAAGGGATCTATAGGGTTTAGGGTTTGGGTCTACTTAAAGGATCATGGGACTTAGTAACTAGTAGGGTTCCTTAAAGGGTTCCTTAAAGGGATCTATAGGGTTTAGGGTTTAGGGTCTACTTAAAGGATCATGGGACTTCGTAACTGAGGTTATAATTAAGGTACTTAATAACCCCAATTAAGGTACTTATAACCTTACTTGCTGAGTCCCATGATCCTCCAAGTATGCTGTTCCTGAGATCCCCGTCTGTCTATCTGCGAACTAGAGCGGCAACTGCTGCGATGAACCGTGCCACTGGTGTGCGAAGAACTTGCAATGATCAGGGCGCGAGGGTGCTATTACCGGCTCGGAGCTCCCAAAGAACCCGAGTCTGATAAAAAGGGGCCTGAAAAAGTTCCTACATTATTTGGGGGGGGGGGGGGGGGCTCCTCGTTACAATTGGAGCATACTGGGCCCCGAAACCCTATTCTAATTATTCAGGCCCCTATATTCAAAACTAACCCTAAACCCTCAACGCTAGACCCACTAAACCCTAAGGCCCACAAACTTCGAGCTCAAAAGCCTGTGAAGCACTGTAGCGAAATGGGCTTGCGCTTATCCTACTGGCTCGAAGTAAAGACCCACATATACACTCAGTGCAAGCTTGAAGGAGCCTTAGGCCTCCCACTATGACCCCGTCTCCCATTGCTAGAGTAACCCATGCTAGCAGTAGCATCGATAATATTGGTATGATTATAGCAATCCTCTAACCTTAGGGACAATATAATTCTGATAAGAAGGGGCCATATACCCTGATCATGTGAACCCCTAGATGGCATGGTGAACCTTAAAGGCCTTTAGCGTGCATTCCGTCCTCGAAGAGTGTACATACTCCCAAAGGGTCCCAAGTCCTACCGGTAATTCTTCCGATAGAAACTCGGTTTGCTACGACCGAGTTACTTAAGACCCTTTGAGCTTAAAATCCTCGAAGGGTTCTTTTGGAGGGCGCCTTTCAAGGAAACCCTTACAGCAGGAGCCCTAAACGGATCTCTGAACCCCTAAAAGGATCCTAAACCCCCTGACAGGAACCCTTGAAGGGTCCCTAAACCCCCTTAAGCGTTACGTGGCACGGGTCATATTGTAGGCCTGCGCAACGAAAACCTTCACGTCGGTGAAGTCCGTCAGGACGCGCTCCAGCTTCTCTTGGAGAGAAAAGAGGTCCCTGCAGAGTTTTGGGGCTGTACTTAGAGGATCATGGGACTTAGTAAGTAGGTTATAATTGGGGTTATAAGTCCCCTAAGTGGGGTTATCCTACTTATAACCTACTTATAACCTTACTTACTAAGTCCCATGAGCCTTCAAGTAGGGCTTACCTGTGGATCCAAAAACCTACCGTTTTAAGGATTCTACCTTCTAATTAAGGGGTCATAACTTTTGCAGGGTTTGGGGTCACAGGTAGGTTTAGGGTTCATAGCTAGGATTCATGGATTAGGGTTTAGGGTTTGGGGCTTTAGGGTTCAAGACTCCGGATGTCAGGGATTTGTAACGTAGAGCTGCTGCGACGATTTTCGCCAGGGTTGTCTTCCCCAACACCCTACCCCCCCAGGGTCCAAAGGACTCAATACTTGGCTACTCGGTTTTAGGATAGTAGTTATGTAGGTTAGGATTTTGGAGAGTACAGTAAAAGCCAGAAAGTTGGAATATGATTATCCTAAACCCTTTATGGTAAGTTATAAGGTATCCTACCCTGAAACCATATTCTAACTTTCTGGAGTTCCCTTTATATGATTACTGGATATTTGGACCCTTGGGCCTACAACACCCAAAACTCCAAACCCGACAAACCTTACGTCCTCTGCGCATTCTGCGATCTCCTCGCTCTCGGCCTGGAACGGGGCCTGCTGAGACGTGTCCCAGACCCCAAAGGCTCCATGTAGCCATACAGTATATACTTAGGCCTTAAAAGGGGTTCCTATGTAGGTACTATTTAAGGCCTAAGTACATACTATATGGGTACATGGACCCTTAGGGGGAGATGGTCCTCTGGGGACTGCGGTGTCTCCTCGATCTGATCCGCGTGAGCGGCTCCACGTCCTTCTCCATCTGCTGCACATCGCTCCATGGACTGAAAGTTCCTAAGCACCAAAACCCCACCTGCATCCTCTAGAAGGATCCAAACTCTATTTCCTAAAACTACAAACTTTACAACCCTAAACTGCAAACTTCCTAAGCTGCCTCTTATGAACCTTGCAGGAGCCTTTCATGTCATAGACTCCATATACTTAAGGGTTTTGCCGAATAAGAAGCCTTTCCAACAAAAGGCCGCACGCGCAGAAACCGTCAACCCTAAACCCTACCAAATCCCTCTCGTCTTCAATAACCCGGCCCCAAAAAGTTCAAACTTTGAAGGGCAGACCAGCTATATAAGGAAGTCTAGAGTTCCCTCACTGAATATCTAAGATCCTCAAACCATGAACTTTTTAGCCGCCGGGCCTTCATTGACCTTAAAGCCTAAACCCTCAAACCCTCGAACGCTCAAGCCCGAAACCGAACCCAAAGGGACCAGGTACCCAAATAGAGCCATTCAGACTATGGATTTTGGACCCAACGCCTGTCTATTTGGGCACCTAGGAACTTAGGGTAAGTTGACCCCTATCATCCTATGAATCCCTATGTGGTGTTTAAACCGTACACCCTTTGAAGGTCTATGCCTTCTTAACCCAGAGGCTCCACATGTACTACCATTATTAATGAAACTATACTGAACTTAGAACCCTAGCAAAAGTCATAATTTCAGCTGTTTCTTAGGGATTATAAAAACCAAAAATTAAAAAACACATATTTCTAAGTACCCCTAAGGAACCAGGTCCTTGAAACCATACTAAGGGAGGCCTCACAAGGTGGGATGAAGGTAGGTGGGATTAAGGATCCCTTATATAGGGACTCCTATTTGGGAATATCCCACCTACCTTCATCCTACCTTTTGAGGCCCCCGATACTAAGGATCATACTAAGGATGGTCTTTTGGGACCTACTTCCATAATGGCAGCGTATATGGACCCTCTTGGAAACCCTAACCACGAAACTTCTGACCCCCTCATTCCTACACCCCCGAAACCTCCTAACCCTAACTCCCCTGGCTTACCATGCTTAAAGGATCATGGGACTTAGTAACTGGGGTGATAATTAGGGTAACTATACTTATGACCCCACTTAGGGTACTTATAACTTATAACCTTACTTACTAAGTCCAATGATCCTCCAAGTACACATTGCCCTAAAAACGAAGTTAACCATAAAAAGGGGTTGGGATCTGGGGCTCGCAGACCGTATATGGGTGGTTGACAAAATTAGGGACCTCAAAAAAACCAGGGTCCCGCCTTTTGATGCTGACAACGTCGATCGACCGAGCTGGCCTCAATGTGGCCGAGTCGAGTGCAGGCTTTGGGCGTTTTCAGCGTTTCAGCTTTATAAGGGCTCCGATAGAAGCCTTTTAGGGCTCCCCGAATGACCTATGTACCCTAATAGTATAGGGATTCCTTGTAAGGTTTTGGGTTTAGGGTTTAGGGTTTATGTTTAAGGGTTCCTTTTCGGGTTTTGGGTTTTGGATTTAGGGTTGGTTTGCTATAAGGGTGTTATCAGGGCTCCTTGTGGGCTTACCCAGAGGGTCCAAGTACTCCCGATTATAGGACTTTAGGGCCTTTTTGGGTACCAAAAACCATAAATAAGGACTACTTGGACCCTTAGGGTAAGGGCTCCAGGGAGGGTTGTAGGGTTTAGGGTTTGAGGGTTTAGGGCTTTAGGGTTTAGGGTGTCATGGTTTCAGAGTCTTAATGGGCCTGAATATCCACCACTACTAGTATGAAACCCAGTCTGTGGGCTCGTATGTACTGTTAGTTAGTTTGGAATTCTGCGCGAAGACCATCCTAAACACGATTCTGGGGAACGGGTTTGTGAGTCAAGCAGTACAAGGAGCAGCGAACACAAAGATCCGAAGGTTCTGAAAACGGAGCACTCCGAAACTCAAGCACCATACAACTCCCAAGCCCCAGACTGTAACCATAGAACGTTATGTTTGGCATGGCCTACTTTACAACTTGTGCACATGGGCATGAACGATGCCAACCGATGCACAAAGCAAGAGCCTGCCAAAAAGTACAACCAAACTCACGAGGTCTTCCCAGACTATTGGCTCAGGGTTGCTATGTGTCCCCTGATGATAAGGGCACACTCTTTCCTGCTATTCGGCATTAACTAGGGAACACCACAACAAAAAGTGCAAAGGGTACTACAAGCAAGTTGCCATACTATGGCTGTGCACTCAAGCCAATGCTTTCCTTTGCCATGGCAACTCGTAGCTCAGTTCATGAATATGATCTCAGAACCAGTTTGCCACGTAGTACCTTTCAAAGCACCGAGGCTCCAACAAATGACCAATAGTTCAAGTACAAAGCCCTACACAAAGTCTCACCTCTAAGCCCAAACAACTCGCCACGCATTAAGGGCTATAGGTTAAACATGGGTAAACTAAACAGGGACATGTGTTCTCTATTCAATCACGGGACTCTCTGGGAAAACTTTCTGAGGGCGTCTACTTCGCTCGGGGTCCATGTACCCAAACAGTGGACACTTTGGCCTTAAAGTAGTCTTTATATATAAGTACTTCGGCGCCAATGTACATACTATTTCGGTAAATTTACCCTTAAACCCTGCAGAAGCCTTATAGGACCTTTATAGTAGACCCTTAGAGTAGACCCTCAAAAGATCCCTATTTGTTTGCAGGGCGTCTTAGGGTTTAGAACCATCCACGCCGTGAAGCCCCGACCACCTCAGGCGGAGGAACTTACCCTAACATGTAGTTCGTAAGGAGTATTGTGCACTGTCATGGATAACTCGACCTAAATGGTCATGAATAATCCGAGATAGTCTGAGATTAAAAGGTCATGGAGTCATGGAGTATTTAGGGCCTAAACCGTATATATGTCATAAGGAGCATTAAGGGCACCCCAAAGAAGCACTTAAGCAAAGATATGGATAGGGCTATCCAATAGAAACCCCTTTTATAATGAAGCCCGAAAACGTACGGATATCCCTATAACATGCTTCTGCTTTTGTCCTGCATGTTTGGGGTCCCTGAGTATTAGTATTGTACGCTGTCATCTATGATCCGACCTAAACGGTAGTGTATAATCGACCCAAAAGGTCATGGAGTCTCTGGATGAACTAACTGAACACGGCCGAGACTCCCCTTCAGGAGCATGCAGCCTGCACAAGGGAAGTTCTTTACAACGGAAGTTATTTTGGGGGTCCTTTGAAGCAAAGGGGCTTGCACATTCTATTCATCGTTCATACATGATGCATCATATCAACAGTATAGCTCCATGTTGGAAGGGGTAGCCGCTTAAGGCTTGTCTGCAATCAATCGTCATACATTGTATGTCCGCGCAAGAGCTGAAGCTATCAACGTTGTTAGGCCTGCTGGACATGATTTCTCATGGTACCTAGAGGCTCCATATATAGTACCGTTATGGAATTAGGCTCCAAAAACCATAATAAGAATGGTCTTTTGGGGCCTAATTCCATAATGGTACTATACATGGAGCCTCTGGGGTCCTTATAACCCAGACCTTTCAAAATCCCTTAATTAAGGAATATACCTTAAATCATATTAAGGGTCTTATTTTGGGGTCCTTATAATAAGGATCCTCATTGCAGCACTGTGGGCTGTTTTGGTATACATGCTACGAGCGTTTGTCTGACTGTGGCGTGAACGGTGTTGCTCTTTTTGCTAATGGGTTTAGGGTTTAGGGTTGTCAGAGTCTTGGTTGACACTGGCAGCATGGCCATTTCGAGGCTCTAGACAGTTTCGATGCATGATGAAGACGAGTCTTGCATGGAAACGCGACCGCAGCATCGATCCTGACTAGCCCTGAGGGTCCATGTACTCAGAGTAGTATATACATTGGCCTTAAAGTGCTCCCTATATAGGTACATGGGGCCCAAAACAAATGCTATATGGGCACATGGACCCGTATAGGGAAGCTACCCCAACCCTCAACTGTGCGTAGCTGTAGAACCTGGGGCACCGCAGTATCGATCCTGACTAGTGGGAGTTTCCGAAAGTAAGGAACCCTAATATAGTACCCTAAATAGTAGGATCCTTCTTATAAGGATCCCAGCATAAGGTACCCCTAATTTTTGGAAACTCCCTAGTAGCACCGGCAATACAAGGATCTTCAAACAATGCTGTCCGGGTACCCCTCCCTGACCTCCCAAACAAACCACAAATGCTCAAAGCTCTGTCCCGGAACACTTTTAGGGTAGAACCCTTAAACTACAGCTGTATGGGCGATTGGACTCCTAGGAAAAACCATAAAATGCCTTGAAAGCCCTACTGCACCGGTCCTTCCAGAAACTCTTCCACAGACACTTCGCAATCCCCATCTCTGTCCAGCTGGGTAAACAACGCCCACGCATCTCCTGATCAACGGGCTCAGGTTTCCCTATAAGGCTCTTAGGGTTTAGGGTTTAGGGTTTAGGCCATGTACCCATATGGCATATACTTTGGCCTTCAAGTACCTATATATAGGGACGCCATTTCAGGCTTAAGTACCTACTATAAAGGTACATGGAACCTTCAACAATAAACCCCAAAACCCCTTTTAGTAGACCCTCAAAGCAACCTCTAAAGGAACCCTTAAAAGATACCTTTTCGGGTATCCTTTAGGGCTTCCTTTTGAGGGTTTATAAAGGTACATGGAGCCTTTGGGTTTGTTATCCGTCAAGGGCTCCCTTTCAAGACTTCTATCCGGATCCGGCCCTGGCAAGTGAAGGGAGCAATGAAGAAGAGGGTTTAGGGTTGGTGGTTATTTAGAACTTAATTTTGCTTTGAATGCCTTTTTCCTTAGCCTTGCGGTCTCGGAAAGTCCGGTACGGACGAGACGTACTAGCCAACTCGTGACCCGGGTTTAGGGTTTAGGGTTGGTTAGGGTTTTGGGAGTTAGGGGTTCGCGATTTGGGGTCTGGGGGTTTGGGGGCTCAGGGGTTTAGCTGCTGGCATTTTGTGTAGAGGGTTTAAGGGGCCAAACCCAAGGCACAAACTGCCCAAGAACCGACCAGCAAAGGACAGGAGCCTGAGTAGTGTGAATAGGGCTTCAGGCTATGTTACCCCAAGGGTCCAATCCAATGCACCATATAATTATGATCTTGGGCAAAGCATAGCATTCGTAAGCAGTAATGTAAACTTGTACTAAGGATCATAGGGATTCTTAGCGGTGTAGGTGGGAGGGGTGTAGGGGACTATATTTCCTTAAATAGGCCTTATTAGTCCTTATTATGGGCCTTAAGGCCCCCTACCCCACCTCCCCCTACACCCCTAAGGATCCCTATGAAAGGAGCCTACAGGAGCAGTGTTGGTGATGATTCAGCCATTTATATTTCGCGATCATGCGGCCTCTTGACTCTTTTGTCTTTTCCTGGCCTTGTTCCTGAACTGTATAAACCCTAAACCAAGCGTCTACTCTGGTTTTGCTACGGCTCTCATGCCTCTTTGTCTTCTTGTGTGGCAGTATTTGCTCTGAACGAGCCCAAAGTAGTTAGGGGCTTCTCCTGGAACCTACATAACCTACCTTTAAAGGAACCTACCTTTCCAGGACCTAGATAATACGGAACCTCGAAAGGTAGGTTTCGGCAAGCGGTGCCTCAGAAAGGCAATCGTTACAGGCCCAGATAATTCGACTACAGTCTAAGTCGAAAGCTTGCGGCAAGGGCGGGAACCCTAACCCCTAAACAGCGGCGGAAAGGGAATCTGTGGTATGACACAATCCCGTCTACTGAAGCGAAATCACAAGCCTTCTAACCCTAGGGATCTAAGGACTCATATATATACAGGCTTTTGGGCCCAAAGACCATATTAGATGAGGCTTTTGGGCTATGTTAATGCCCAGAGTAAGATCCCAGACCTTCCAAAATCCTTTAATTAAGGACTATACCTTAAATCTGATTAGGGAACCTACTATAACTTAAGGTAAATTCCTTAATTAAGGGGTTTTGGAAGGTCTGGGATGCTTATTGCGGCTTTGCACTTGGAGTGAGCTGGCATCTGAAAGGATCACCTTCGGTAGTGAACAACAAATGCAAGACCCTAAGGGGTTTAGGGTTTAGGGGTTTAGGGTTTAGGGTTTAGGGGTTTAGGGTTTAGGGTTTAGGGTGTAGGGTCCAAGTAGTTCCTGTTTATGGTTTTTGGTACCTAAAAAGGCCCCAAAGTCCTATAATAGGGAGTACTTCGACCCTCTGGGAGAGTGTCACAGCCGCCTGCGTTGATCTCCAGGGCATCGAAAACTGCCAGGAGACTCCTTGGCACAGTATATGTACCGATTAGGCTTTGCGGCTTGTAGATCTTTGTAGTGTTTAAGTGCATTTCAAAATGTAAGATGCCCTAGAAACCTTGTGTATAAGCGCGCCTGACTACAAAAATTGTACCCTATTCTCCGAAATCTGCTGCAACCCTTCTACAACCCTATCAACACCCTGTAAGCGGAACCCCTATGTCGGGGAATAAAGGAAACGGTTTATCCGAAGCCCAAGTACGTAGCTATCAAGTGCTTTAGATTGGACCCAGGATCGCTAGAATCTCAGTAAAACACCCTCGTAGAACCGGTCTAGAACCCCTTGTAGAATCCTTGTAGACACCTGTGTGGAATCGAACATACCTCTACAGTGCTTCTGACAAATCCCCTCTAGATCCCTTCCAGAACATAAAACTTTAAACCTTTGAAGACTCCTTCTGCAACCAGAACTATGAATTTCAAGCCTCGCTTGTTGAATATGCCACAATTGGCTTAGCTCCAAAGCAACCCGCACCTACAAATACTTTTGAGCCCATAGCCGAGAAGGTTTCAGCGTTCGTCAAGAGCGCTTTCCGGCGGTTTGATGCATAGGCACTATCAAAACTGGGCGGCTTATTGGGTTTTTACGGGTTTCAGGGATAACGGTTCAAGGAGCGTAATTCAGCTGTTTAGACGGGAGACATGGCAAACAAAACGGCGTCCCTGGCGGGGTCCTAATGATGACAACTGAAGTATGAGCCTTCTCAGACAAAGTAGAGCCCTAAACCCGTGTACTATGAACCCCTACTTGGAGAGGCAGGGGACGTAGTAAGTAGGTTATCAGTAGAGTTATATGTATACCCTACATGGAATTACCCCAATTATAGCTCTACGTATACCCTACTTACTAAGTCCCCGGCCCCTCCAAGTAGACATGTTCCCAGAGCGTCAGGAGATACTACTATTGTGGACTTAGGCACCCAAAACCATAACAAGGATCGTCTTTGGGACCTACGGTTGATGATATAAATCCTGCATTACCCATAATAAGGAGTATATGGGAACTATGGTATATTCCTTATTATGGGTCATGCAGGATTTGTATCATCAACAGTAACTCCACATGGTCGTGTATTTTAAGAGCAGCGTCTCTTTAGGATCCCAAACTGTGCTCCTTTTTCTCGCTGTAGTATGGGGTAGCTTTATAAGCAACCTAGGGCTACAAAAAGGGGAATAAGGGTACCACCGGGCATCCGTTGTATAGGGTTGCCGCAGAAGGACGATAATGTTGAAACTATAGGACCGTTTCCGGGATTATGTGCTTTCTGCCAGGCATGCATTGCTGCGAGGGCACGGATCCCGCATAGCGGCTTTGAACTCCTTGACTGTGATGCCTGCACGACGGGATTTAGGCCTTGTATCCCCCAAACCTAATAAAATACGCTTGATGATACGAGTCCTGCATTACCCACAACAAGGAATATACTATAATTATCATAGTCTAGGGTCCTTAAAGTAATTTTGGATTTGTATCATCAACCGTAGGATCTTTGGCTCAAAAAGCCTTTAGACATGCGTCCCTGGTGGCTTAGGGTTTAAGGCTTTACAGCTTTAGGGTTTAGGGTTCGGGGTTAAGGATTTGGGGGTGGGGTTTAGGCCTAAGCCCCTATAGAGTAGGAAATCAGCTTTCTATGGTAGGACATGCCATAATCGCGAGATACTTCGGACCCTTTGGGAGAGTATCAGGGGTTCACCGATGTTTAGGATCTACAGGGGGCTTAGGGGTTTAGGGCTCCGGAGTTTGGGGTTGCTACCCTACGGGTCCAAGCTATCCGAATAGGTGCTTGTCAAAATTGTAGTCCCTTTTTGGGTACCCGAATTTTGAAGGTGCCGTATTATAATATGGACCCAAAAAGGGACCCTAATTTTGACAACTACCCAAATAATGGAGGTTAAGGTTTCAGGTCCCTGGACCCATTCAACACACCACTATCTGGGTACGGCGCCTTTAGGGGCGTATAAACCCGAAGCCCGAAACATCCCGACACCATAGATACATGGGTCCGAACTGAGGGTGCATTCTACTCCACTTCCATGCCCTTGAGATGATCTTGAAGTTGGAGATCCCTTTACAAGGAAACCATGACCCCAAAGAGCGAAAACACACGTAAAACCATGTATAAACTGCTCCAAGGAGGCACAAAGTTTGGGCTGTGTTTCAAGACATGTAATAATCCTTGTAGACCCCTTTAAAAGGAACCCGTAAAGGAACCCTTAGGTGTGTATTCACCGGGAACCCTGAACGCCAAGTGTTGCCTCCATCTTCGTTGCGGTCCAGCTGGGAGAAGAGTCTCCGTACGGCCCGAAAATATTTCTGCTTCTCCTGCGGCCGGCGTGCCTTAAGGAACGAAAAATGATCCTTGACAGTAGGCGCCCTGTAGCGATTGTACTATATACCAGGATGCCCGGTAACCTAGGATTTAAAAGGGCGGTAACCGGGTAACTTTCATAAGGAACCTAGGACTACAAGAAGGGAATAAGGGTGCTACTCGGGCATCCTAGACTACGACCCTCAAAAATCCGATAACTGGGAGTACTTGGGCCCTCTGGGTTGGTCTTTAAGGCTTCAGGTCAGGGTGTAGGATTTAGGGTTTTTCGGGTTTAGGGTATAAGGTTTAAGGTCTATAGGGCTTGGGGTCCCTATTAATTCAAACATTGGTGTTTAGAATAAGAACCTGCGAAAAATTGCTTTTGGTAGTTTAAGGCGTATGTTGCGCAAACACATGGCTTTGGGAGAATGCATAAAAACACTGTATTTCATTCAGGCCGATATGATGTTACAGTGGCCGCTTGTGCTATGTAGGTTGTAGCTTCATTCGGAACTCTCCTGAGAACCAGAGGGCCAAGTTCTGCTAAGAAAGGAATTTGAAGCTTTAACCTCAAGAGGAAACCCTGTACAGAGCAACGTGCGCTTCTGATGAAAGGCAGCTGGACTCTGTGGCACTATCACGGATCCGAGGCAAGGCTCTTGCAAAGGCCCTTTCGAACGGAAACCTGCAGACGGTTTCATTGTAGTACTCATTCAGAACGAACCTAGCAAGTTTAGGCTTCAGGGACCACGGGGAACGCCCTAAACCGCCGGAAAGCACCAGACGTTTCAGAAGTCACATATTGCTTTGCACTTTGAGGTGTGTGTGTGTGTGTGCACAACCCTGGCCCTAAGGGTTCAAGTCTCTGCAAGTCATTCCCCCTCAACATACTAAACCACCCTAAGGCTTCTGGACCCACATTGTGCGCTCCCAAACCTTAGACCCCAAAGCCCAAACCCTTCCCCCGGAAAGCCCATGACCCCTTTCGGAGCCTTAGGGCACAAAACTAGTTTTTGGAACCTTTAGAGGCCTAAGCTAAAGGTTCAAGCTGCCGAACTCTAGAATTTTGATCGACCCACCAGTCAAACCGTTAAAGAACACCAACAAACCCGTGGATTGAAATTAACCACCAAAAGCACGAAAACACTGTACTATAAGGGCCTTAATCGTTAGAATAGGGTTTTGGGACCCATTATACTATACAAGTACAATACAGAACCCCCCCGAATAGTATTGGCAATTAAGGCCCCCATAGTAAGGGTAAGGAACCCCCAAAATACGGTTGATGATATACATCCTGCATTACCCGAAATAGGGCATTATATACCAGAATTCCCATAGTCTAGCGTCCTTAACGTAATGCACGATTTATATCATCAACCGTAGTATTGGTAATTGTTAAGAACAAAACCGCAAAAAAGGAAAGAAACGCCCGGCTCCTGCGCGACATTCTGCAGGATCAGCTCGTGGTCTCTCTCGGCGCTTTCGATGGCACTTTGGCAGAACCTCGAGATTTCGGCATCGTTTAGAAGGTTTACGGTTTATTCCTTACCCTAATTAAGGGTCCAAGTAGTCCCTGCTTATGGTTTTTGGTACCCAAAATGGACCCAAAGTCCCATAAAAGGTTTATATACGCTGTATAATTCCTTCGGGTTCAGAAGATGGTGCTCTCTCTCGGCGCGCGCAGGAGCCTAGGGGCCGCGTGGGTTGTTGTCCGGGTTTGCTGCCCACGCAGAGCGCCGGAGTATGATTTGAGCAGCCCTCAACCGTATCCACAGTTCTTCCTGTAGGGTTCAGAATCTCATAGGGACCCTTAGGGGTGTAGGGGGAGGGGGGGTAGGGGGCCTTAATGCCCATAATAAGGACTAATAAAGCCTAATATAGTCCCCTACCCCCGCTCCCCCCTACACCCCTAAGGGTCCCTATGAGAATCTCTCTGATGGGTGTTTAAAGCCTCGCTTTAGGGTTTCTCTGAAGCCCGGAAGTCAAACCACCCAAAGCTCAACAGTCGTCCAAGCCGCACTCCGGTCATCACATTTAGCACCTTCGGCGGGTTTGGGATGTCGGGCCTTTTGGGTCTTACTAGCTTGCGGGTTCAGCGGCGCCGTCGGCCCGGCGTTCGCATCTCTCGTTTTTTTGTGGTTGTTGAGGAAAAAGGGTGCTTCATAGAAGTGTCAGGAACCCTAAACCCTAAACCCGGTTTTGTGGGAGCGGCTGGACTTTGGATGATAGTATAGGGGGGTGCGAGTAAGATTCCAAAAGCACAAATTAAGGAATAAATCATACTAGGGTCCTATTTCGATTCAAGATGTGTGTGTGTGTGTATATATATATATACACATATTATATACACCTTAAAATGACCCCTTAAAGTATACTCCTTAGTTAAGGGCTGTTGGGAGCAACGGGTTCTCTTAACTCGAGAAGCCTTACATCTGAACCCTAAGCGTTCTCTGTGACTGAGCATCGTGACTAACCCCAAACCCTAGGATAGGGTTTAGGGTGAAGGGTTTTCCTAAACCGAGTAACCCCGGCGTGACATGAGAACACTATTGGGTTTAGGATTTAAGCTTAGAGCGCAAGAAATTTAGCTGAACTAACAAACCAGCATGAGAGTACGACGCACTGGTACCCTAGGACCTCATCTGCTTGTGACAATATGACCTGCTTGTTGTTGTGCTGGCCTACAGCACTTCTTCCAGAAACTGCTCCTGGCTGCGAGTGTTCTTGTATTAGGTACTGCCTTGCAACCTCATTGTTGAAGTAGCGGCAACATGCAGTATGTAGGGAACCTTCCTATTTCTAAGTTGGGGCACGTCGTTGTTGATAGGAGTTTGCTGCCGGCACCGCCGGGCAGAAGAGTGCACTAGGTTAAAGCGTGGGCAAGCAAAAACACAAACCCTGAAGCACGAACCATAAACCCTGCAGACGCACGAAGCCACCTTCATCAGTTTCAGAGCATGTTTATCTTTAGACTACACGGCTTTAATATGTGTTGTAGCCTCGGCTCGGTTGCTTGATTCAAGACTTTGGGGGGCTTTCCGCGGACAAATACAACAGAGCCTTCACCAAACCCCACAAAACCTGAAACCCTAAACTCAAAATGCTTCCACGCACAAGCTAAACACACAAACTCCTCAAGCTCAAACTTACGAACAGCAGCCCTAGGCATATCAAACCCGAGACAACCCGTACAAAACACGATCAAACCATGCAAAAAGGACAATCCTAAACCCTAAACCCCTGAACCCCTAAACCCATAAACCCTAAACCCTAAACCCTAACCCCTAAACCCTAAACCCCATAAACCCTAAACCCCTAAACCGCCCTAAATCCTAAACCGCCCTAAACCCCCGGAAGCTCCTTTCATGGTATCAGACCTCAGACGGCTTAGGGTCTACCTGGACCCTAAGGAACCTACCTTTTTTAGGGCTCCCTAATATGATTTCCTTATATAAGTCCTTAAAAAGGTAGGTGATTTGGGGTTAAGGTAGGGTGTAGATTCAGGGTCCATATGGTATAACAAACCCTTGCCAACCAGCTTTTCCACCCAGGCGCACCTAAACACGAAACCCTAAATCCACCCAGGCGCAGCGAAGAGACAGAATGCAATGTAGGCCTGTGACTGGCGCAGCACAGCGACAATCGAGAAAGGCTTTGCTTAGGAAAAAAGACAGGGCTCATAGTTTAGGGTTTGAGGTCTAATTAGGGGTTTAGGGTTTAGGGTGTAAGGTTCAGGGTTTGGTTCAAGATTTAGGGTGCAGCCCTACACCTTTATGTAATTAAACTGCAGGCTCTACCCTGAACCTGCACACCCTAAAAGCCCTAAACCCAACAGACTCGCCAAACATTTCCGGCCCTGGCTGCCCTTCAAGGAGCCCTTCAAACTTTTGTTCCTTTATTTATACTGGTGGGCTCAGGTTTACGGTTTACCTTAAGGTTTATACACGATCCCTTACAGGTAGGGGCCTGCGCCATTCTACTATAAATCATCCCTCTATGGTATAATGACCTTTAACCCGTTTAGTCCCTTGAGGTACCCTAAATCCAAAGCCTCAAACCCCTAAATCCGAAACCCTGAAACCCTGAATCCTAAGACGGGTTCAGGCTTAGAGTTGTCGGGGAAGAAGCCGCAACAGGTTTGGCCTCGAACACGAGGCGCCATATGCCGTCGACCTGCACCGCAGACTTATAACACCTAATCCTAATCCCCTGTCACCCCCTCCCGCGGCTCAGGGATGTGGGGTTGAGGGTCTCCTGCATCAGGAATGACTCAAAAAATCAGTTGGATATTCTGCATAGTCGGGGCACTGCTGGAAACCCTAACATGCGCGCCAGCAGCATGGTTGCTGTAGGCCTTTAACGGATTCCTACATGGGTCGGAGCGTATGCAACAACACACACCAAGAAGCCATCAAAGGCCAGACACGGCGAGCAGAAATACACTAGACATTTGTGAGAGTGCACAAGCCTTCAAAGGCCAGACACAGCCATCATATGTCAACTGGTGACGAGCCGAAACCAGTCTCATATTGGGCTCCGCTGGGTAACAACTTCAGCGGCCGTACGTGAAGTAGGCCTCCTATTGCCGTATCACCGCAGTACGTACCACCCGCATCATGCGCTCACCAATTGTCGATTCCTAAGGCGCCCTATGTACCACACACCAATACTCCGTAGTGCTAATAAGCCACCTTACCCAAAGCGTCCAAGGTCCTGAAACTCAAATAATTACTAACCAAAATAAGAACCTAGAATCCTATTATCCTAAACTGTCCGAAACCCAAGTACCTGATCAGCTGCTCCTCTCGACCCTGAAGACGATATGATTATACAAACCCTTTCTTAGAACCCTAATAAAGGGCCGATTCAAGCCCTTCTTCGAACCCCTAAACCCTACCTTAACCCCACACCTGCCTTTTTATGGACTTATACAAAGAAATCATATTAGGGGGCCCTAAAAAGGTAGGTTCCTTAGGGTCTAGGTAGGCCCTTAACAATGGATCCTTCGGAAATCGCCCCCTGCCTGTGCGAGTGCATCGGACACCTCGCTCCAGGTTAGCCCGCCTGTGACGATGGCTGAAACGGAATCCCAATGGGTCCCACTAAGTACCTACGGTTGATGATATAAATCCTGCATTACCCACAATAAGGAATATACCATAATTGCCATAGTTTAGGGCCATTGTTGATGATATAAAACCTGCATTACCCTTAATAAGGAATATACCATAAATAGTTTAGGGCCATTAAGGTAATGCAGGATTTATATATCATCAACCGTATGTAAGTTTTAGGGTCTAGGGCACCTTCATCTATAGTTCGATGTAGGGCATTTATTTTACTTATGACTTGCAAAAGCATCACCTGTAGCAGTACCGAGGACCCTCTTGGGGGTCGGAAAGGACTGAACACTTTTGTATGCGCGGCAGGGTGCTAAACCCTTTTTGAGCAGATTGCCCTGATCCTTCAGCTAGCACTCTAAACCCCTAAACCCCTGAGCCCTAAAACCTGCCCTCAACCCGACCCCCTAAACCCCGAAGCCCTAAAACCCGCGAAAATGAAGCTTCCCTTATCAGGGCATAGGCTCTGGTCGTTTCCGAGGTTTTCAGGCTTCTAGGGCATTCTAGGGCTTCGGGGATTAGTGTCTGGGGCTTTAGGGCATGGTAGGTGTTTAGGGGATAGCGAGTAGCTCATGGATGCGTATGGGAAGCCTTGCAAATTCAGTTCGAGGGTGCCGGGCTTGGCTGTTGTAGCTTATTTAGCCCAATGTGAACCAAAAACAGGGCTTCGGAATGCTTCGGAACAAGTGTTCTTAGGGGAAAACCTGGAATTTTGAGGGCTTAGGGATCCCACAGTTTCCTTTTCAACTTGTAAATGAACTTCTTGAATTTAGTTGGCTTTTGCAACAGACCAGACTGTTTTGAGTTTCGAAAGGAGCTACACACTCCCAACATTGCAAGTTCACATACTCAGCGTCTAAGTGAGCATGATTGGGTTCTTGTAAAAGAATTTAGTTTAAGTTACCATATTAATAGGGATCTATAGGAAGCTATGTGATTTGTTTATTGCGGTAGCTTAAACTTTAAACCCTAAGACCTGAACATTACATCCCTAAACCCTCAAAAAAGACCCCCTCTGGATCCCTTACTTAATTTAGGTTCCTTTAACAAGAACCGAGATGAACTCGGAACTTAACCCTATAAACCCTAAACACCCCAAAACCCTACTCCTTAAGAAGAACCCAGATGAACCCGGAGTCGAGCCTGTGATGGAGGCGAAGAGAGTGTGCATCGAATCTTCCAAGGACCCGAAACGGAAATAGAGATACCTTAGGAAGGGTTCCTTTAATTAAGGGTTCTATAGGGTTTAGGGTATAAGGGTGCATACAAACTAGTGCTGGTAACTGTTGGTTCTCAGTATGGAACGGGGGAACGGAGTAGTTATTAGGCTTGAGGGCTTTTCTAGGGACTACTATAGGGATCCATTCCCCCATTCCCTACTAAGAACCAGACTGAGACGGTGAAGCACCGGAGTGCTTGAGGCTCCCTGAGAAAGGGCCGATGTCAGGTTTAGGGTTTAGGGGTATATAAGGATTTAGGGTTAAGGCTTTAGGGTTAAGGTTTTAGGGTTAAGGGTTCAGGGTTAAGGGTTTGGGGTAAAGGGTTTAGGGTTAAGGGTCTAGGATGTTTGGTCGCGTGACGTTTTAGGTTCTAGGGGTCATACACAACGGGTAGCATCCCAATCCGAGCAGGTGCAAACAGCCACGTCTATAACCTATCCGTTCGGACCAATTAAACCCCAAACGGGAAAATCATTGATATCCAGAGAAGGTTTGTATAAGATGCAAAGCCCGGCACATATGCAAGGTTTGTTTAGTACCCTACGGGTCCATATACCTAATGATCATACACGCTCCTAAATCCAAAACGCGAAGCCGTAAAACTTAGCATGCAAATCAAAAAACGCTGACCGGAACCCTTCAAATCTCGAAGGAACCCTTCAGTTCAGTTCCTTAAATGAGAAGCTTCACCCTGACCCTGCACCCCCCAAAAGCAAGCCTTGTACGAACCGTTTAAGACGTTAAAAAACTAAACCTTGTAGAGCTCTTACAGGAACTCTTACATCCTTCTCGCAACCCTCGAAGTAGCCAACTAAGGCTGTAAGCTAGATTACATTTGGATATCCCTACTTTCCCAAACTATAACCCTGCTTACTACGTCCGTTGAGGCCTCAACCCCATAACCAAAACCCTAAACCCCTACACCCTACACCTAAAACCCTCAAACAGATACCAGGACCCTCAGGGTAAGGCTTTAGGGCTTACCTGGGATCGAAAAAAACCTACTGTTTTAAGGGTTATACCATCTAATTGACAGGGGTTATCACCTACTATGCTGTAGGGTTTGGGGATACAGGTAGGGCTACCCTCAAAGTAGGCAGGAGGCGACTCCTTCAACTGGGTCTCGCTTAGCGCCGCCACGCTTTCAGTGCAGACGTCCGTGAAGACCAGGCTGAACCTCAAAAGTTTCCCCGGAGAGTCTTTAAAGGAGCCAATAATTACGGTTAGGGTTTAGGGTTTAGGGTTCCTTTAATTAAGGGGTTTAGGGTTCAGGGTTTAGGGTTTAGTCCAAAGGGATTTAGGCTTAACCTCAAGTTTCCCCAAGGGTCTTTAAAGGGCCCGATAGGGTTCAGGGTTCCTTTAAAAGGGGTCGACAAGGGGCTCCTACGGTTTAGGGTTTCGGGTTCCTTCAAGGGGTTTCCCCAAGGATCTTTAAAGGGGTTTCGGGTTCCTTTAAAGGGAATTCTATAAGGGGCTACTATAATGGCTACTATAAGGGTTCCATATTAGGCTGAACCTCCAGTTTTCCCCGCAAGGGTCCAAAGGACCCAATAACTAGGGTTAGTCTGAATTGTCGTTCCTTTTTCTGGTTAACCAAAAACTAGATTCTAGGATCCTAACCATGCAACTGGTTAACCGGTTAACCACAAAAAGGAACAAGAATGGAGACTATAGGTATAGGCTGTAATTGCTCGGGGTGAAGGCTTACCCCACGGGTCCTGAGAGTTCCATGGAGGACTTCTGAGACCCCAAAGAGACCCGAGGGCTCTGCCTAAGAGGTTCCGGACCTTCCCAATGAGATACCTGGACTCTAGGGTAGGCTCAGGGCTTCGTAAAGCCGGGAGGCAGGAACATGATGAGAATCAGAAGCACGCCCGACCAAAGCATTGCACGCAAAGTGCGGCCGATGCAGTACAGAAGCGTCTTCCTCAGATGTTCACGCCGCTCATGCCCTGTAGGTCTCTACATAGCTATACCATGCCAATGCAAATGCCCCTTAAAACAGCTCTACTCAGAATACGTTGCGGCGAGACACAGAGAGCGGATGAACTTCACGAGACGCACGATGCGAATCGCCCTGTCGAGCCAAGAGCAAAAGCCACTTGGGTAGTTGTCAAAATTAGGGTCCCTTTGTGGGTACCCTAAATATTAGGTGCGGTATTATATACTAGGGACCCAAAAAGGGACCCTAATTTTGACAACCACCCACTTAAAGTAGCCTCTTGGACCAACTTATCCACAACAGCAGGTGGTCTAAACCTTGATGCGATGAGTTCCCAAATTGTATATGAAACTTAAAATCTTGGAGGGCTCATGTCTTCCTTAAGATATCCCAAAACCCTTAAACCCATATCAGCCCCGTAGAACCTTAAGCCCTTATAGGCTCATCTAAAAAGGGCGCAGACCTCAAACTTCAAAACCCAGATCCGAACCACAACCCCCTTATACCTCAAAGCCCGAAAGCCCAAAATTCCTCGACCCCTGAAAACCGAAAGCCCTGTTTAGGGTTTAGGGTGCAGAGAGTGTAACCATCTATAAATCCTTAACATGCCCTTGTAAAAACAACAGATGACAACCACGTGGCCAAGCCTTGTGATTTTCGCGACTCGCAGAACTCTCACCAACCGCATGGACGTGCTTACCTTGGTGCAAATGGCAGTTAGCTGACAGTTGTCCAAAAATTTTGGTCTATTAACAAGACTACATATGGTTCTGCGGCTTCGTATTTAAGGCTTGGGGCTTTTATCGTCTTTTAGGGCATTACAGCAGTGGTAGCTCTTCATGTCATACCTGTCCCGGCATAACCATGGGTAGTCTTATTTTTCGGCCAGCCAATCCTTTTCACTATTCTTAATCCCGATGGCGTCCTTCCTTCAAGGCAGCCCGAACCCCAAATGCCGAAACCCCCAAAACCCCAAAGCTACACCCAAAAAGCCCTAGGTACTGGTATAGGAGATACCTCTCCAAATCAGAATAGTGATTCCTGCTACAAAAACCCCACATTCTACCATATAGGTATTTTGGACCCTTTTGGGACACAATCTTTCAATCCCTTGGGCAGAAACTAGATCAAAAATCAAGGAGGGCCCTAGAGAAAAACTTCGGCCGCGGAGGCACCCAACCGAGTTCCTAAACTCTCGAACCTTAAAGAGCAGAGTATCAGAAAACGCAGGACCCAAACTTTACTGTGCCTAGTGACTAGTTCGATCCTAAACCAACAACCTTAAGGAACTTCCAGAAGAGACCCGCCCAAGGCCGTTTGAACCGTTTGCAACCCATTAAAACCTCAGTTCACACCTACATAGTACAGCGGTCTAAATGATTAGAATGCAGTTTTGCGGCATGTCTTTCGTATGCATAAAGTGCGGAACCCTCAGGAGCAATATTGGCAAATCTTGCAGCCTTCAAACTATCCACTGAGCCCTCTTTACAGTAAGTCGCGGTCTTCCCCGATCAAAGCCGAGACGCATTTGCTTGCTGTGTGTTACTTCCCACCTGCATGCCAGGAAGGGTTTGGGCTGTATGGTTTAGGCCTACGGTTCGGGAATGAGTCGGAATGAGTGTTTAGGAATTAGGATTCAAGGTGTAGGTAGGAGTAGTTTGATTACTACTCATTAGGACCTAGGTTCAGGATCCCCAATTGAGAGGGTCTATGTGCCTATAGACTTACAGGGTTCCTCTTTAGGTACGTCAAAGTATGAAGGCACATGGACCATTAGGAATACGGCTGACAATAACAACCAAGCATTGCCCGTAATAAGGAACAGACCATAATCCCATAGTTTTGGGTCATTAAGGTAATGCAGGGTTTGTAACATCAACCGTAGTATTCATACTTTTCTCTTGGGGTAAACGAGACATGAATGCAGGACTGGGTGTAAGCGGCATCCACTTCGAGAGCCCGAACACCCAAAAGCAAGCTATTACAGAAGGACTACACTACACATAACATAGGGCCTTCATAATTAGAATACCGGTTTCGGGGGAAATTTTGCCATGATTCTGATCAGGAACCCCCAAAATAGTATTGGTAGTAGTTTTTGATAAGGCCCCTACATTATATTACCCATGGCCCCATGTCGTCCTTCAGATATCCCAAAATCCTAAAGCCCATATGACGCCCACAGAACCCTTAAGGGAACCCTTTTAGCGCTTCTTTCGCCCTACAAGGGAGCAGGAAGCCGCCAACTCCGAGAAACCCGATACTCTCCCATCCATCCCGAATAGGCCCCAGCTACTAAGACTAAACCCTAATGATAAGGGTTAGTCTTTGTAGCTGAGTGGATACACTTTGCACTTTTTGGGATAATATTACCACTACAAAACTCAAGGTGTACACTTTTTGCGGCTTTAGCACTCAGCAACTAAGTGGTAAATTAGGGTTTAGGGGTTTAGGAGTTTCGTGAAGAACAGGAGACGTCTTTAGGGTTCCATTAAAGTCATCCATCAGGCTTCCGTTAAAGAGATCTACAAGGCTTCCTGTAAAGGGGTCTATAAGGGTTCCATAAAGGGTTTAGGGTTAAGGGGTTTGGGGTTCCGGGTATAGGGTTAATCTAGTATGGGCTGGGTTTCCGGGCCTAACCTACCAACATGCTAACTAAACACAGGTTCAATCAACGAACCTCTCACAATGCAGTATGAAAACAACAACCTAAACCCCAAACCCATAACCTCAACCCTTAAAGCCTCAATCCGTAAACTTATATTGTAAACCAATAGCCCCAAACACGGAGCCTTAAACCATATAAACCCCAATTTTCATAAACTCAAACCTTAAACAATCCCATAAGCTCGAACCCCAGATCCCACCACACATAACAATAATAAACTTAAACACTAAAGCCTTGGCTGACTTCTGAGCCCCTCCTAAAAGTTAAACTTTTAGCCTCCTTACTATAGTTAATATAGAAACCCCAAAAAGTTAAAGTCCTAAGAGCCAACCAGAAGAACCCTAAACCCTAAACAGTAAAACGTAAACCAAGAGCCTGGAGCCCGAGAAACTCCAAACAAATAACCTTAAACCCTAGACCCACAATGTAGGAACTTGATTAAGAAACCCTGGGCCTATATAAGGGCTCTATACGGGTTCCTTTAAAGGGGATAATCAGGTTCCTACATTTACCTTAATTCTTAAATCTTCAAAACCCTAACCTTCAGGACCCTAAAACCCAGAGGTAGACGCCCAGACCGTCCAAAATCCCTAAACTAAGGAATATACCTTAAATCATATTAAGGGTCCTACTATACATAATTTAAGGTATATTCCTCAATTCCCTTATACTATAGAGCCCTTATAGATCGCTTTAAGGAACCCGGGTATATTCCTTAATTAAGGGTATTTTGGAAGGTCTGGGCGGCTCCTTTCAACGAGAACGAGCACAGGATGCCCCAGCCTCGGCGCGGAGCATCATCTCGAGAATGAACTCCATGAGGCTGGAGGCGACAACGACGATCTCACGGGGCGGCGCTTAGGCGCTTAGGGTTTACATAGAGGCTTAGGGCTTAAAGCTCCGTTTTCTGTAAATACTTGGGTCGGTCCTGGACTGCAGAGAGGACTTACGGTCTAAGGGGTGTGGGCCGCAGGGTTTAGAAACGCAGGGTTAAGGTTTCATGATTTCAAGCTCAGCGTGAATATCTGGGGATTTATTGGATGTCGTTTATGGTTCTGTTTGCTTGGGGCTGGCATGGTTTACCTGCCTTTTCGGAGGGGAGTTTTAGAAGGTGAGGGTGTAGAGTTGAGGCTTTGGGGCTTCAAGGCTACGTGGGCTTATGGGTTTGGGGATGAACGCTGTAGGGGTTCGAGAGTTGACATAGTCCAGGGACAAGGGTTTGGAAGTGTCTGATTGTTGGGGGCTTCAAAGAGCTAGAGGTAGATTATTAGGAGCATAACCGTTCTTTGTGCTGAATATTTAAAGGGGGAATTCAGAGCATTCTGCCGAGCCACGTCCAGGAGGAGCCAAGCCCATTCTTCCTGGAGTTCCGGAGTAGCGTCTTGGGATTCAGGGCTTAAGCGTTTAGGGATTATGGACTTAGGGGTTTAGGATTTAAGATTTCGGGCTTTATGGGTTTGATTTAAGGATTTGTGGATTTAGAGGCGTATGAGTTTAGGTGAATTTATGTCACGGTTGGTGATCAGTGCATGTGGTGCGCTTTAACCTGGTTTGCCACGGGGTTCGGCAATGGCTTTGCAGCGATGGCTTTTCTGTGGGATTTATGAGATTCTCACAGAATTTGGTTTCCCGTCGTCAATGTACCTGTTTCCTATGCACGTCCTACGTAGAACTGCTTATAGACCAGGGCCGAAGTATATGCCGCATTGATAGTTGTTAGAACATTGGGGGAGTGTTTAGTGTAGTGACCCTAACCCTACAGTAAACCCTGTCGAATAGTTCAGGAACCTATAAGACCACAGGCAAGGAGAAACGGCCCACTGGGAGACGCAGTACTTTACCCTAAGGGTCCTTGTACCCAAATGCATGTATATACTTGGGCGCTAAAGTAACCCCTACATAAGTACTTTGGGGCCAATGTATATATATATATATATATATACTATTCATGCACATTGATCCTTCGGGTTCAGCTAACGCTTTGCACTGAATCATGGCGCTGGTCTGAGCGTTAAAGGCCGGGGTTTAGGGTTCTGGCTTTGTAGACTAGGTTCGTGCAGAATCTCCCATCAACATCATGCAAAACTTCAGTTGCTATTGTTTATATGATTTATTGATAAGATTTCCGTATAATTACACATATCGATATATATATATATATGTTATATTTAATACTAGATGTATGTATGTATGTATGTATGTATGTATGTGTGTGTGTATGTATGTATGTACGTATGTATGTATGTATGTATGCATATGTATGTATGTATGTATGTTTATACATGTTGTTACAAAGCAAGCTAAAGTTCTGGTCTTCAAGGTCCCGGGTTTGGAGATCGAGGTGTCAGGGGCGTAAGGTTTGTGAGGCTGACAAGCCTCTTACCCGCGCCACCACGACCGCGGTCTATGGTCTAGGGTTTAGGGTCTAGGGTCACGACGACCAGGAACACGCATGATGACCATCTGGTTCTCGTTGAAGTTGGATGCACCGCAAATTTCTTTCTCGGGGTTCGCCATTGTAGCATCATCTTCTTGTGCTCCTCCGCCGTGAAAGTCTCGTTCTCGATACGCTCGCGAGCGAAGGAAACTTGTTGATTGGCCCTGTAGGATACTGTAGGAACCAGATGAAGAAGCTCTGGGCCTATAACCCCAAAATAGTCGGATTCATATAAGGAACCCTAACAAGGGCCTAAGGTGTCTTAATCAGGTTCCTACACTATGCCCATCTGGCAAAGGATGGCAGAATCTTCACGTCCTTGACGTCGCTCTTCTTTGGAAGGGTCACAGAGAAACTTACACACACAAACCTCTGAACCCAGAAACTAACTTCTCAACCCTGAAAAATTATCCACTCCTAGGTTCTGAAGCCTGTTTGAACTACACCCGAAGCCCCGAAACTTTCAGGTCTGGGGGTTCGGGCTTGCAGGGTTTGGGGATTAAGGTCTAGGGTTAGGGTTTGGGCCTCTAAACTTTCATTGTATGGTCCTCGCAGAGGATTCGAGGCCCCCCCGCAAGAAAGCGCAGCACCAGCTCCACTGTGAAGAACCACCTTGCTTAGAGAATCACGGGACTTAGTAAGTATATAGGTTATAATTGGGGCTATAAGCCCCGGGTTATCCTAATTATAACCTACTTATAACCTTACCTACTAAGTCCTATGAGCCTTCGAGTGAACTTCACGAGATGTGGAGTTTACTTGGTATACCAGGCTGCTAGCAACACAAGGCAGCTGTAACAGGTGGTAACAACCATCAGTTGCCGAAAGGGCTCAAGCAGCTAAACAGGATCTTTTGTTTTACCGTTGATGATAGAAATCCTGCATTACCTGAAGGATCCTAAACTATGGGACTTATGGTATATTCCTTAGTATGGGTAATGCAGGATTTATATCATCAACCGTAGGCCTACCTCGAATCGGTTTCGGAGCTTAAACTCTTAAGCCTGACCCTAGGCAGCCAGGCCCCAAACCGGTTAAGTTGTCAGGAAGTAATCGCTCCTGAGACAGCTGATAGGGCTTGGCTTTGTTGAGCTTGGTTGCACTACTTACCCATTAAAGGAATATTCAGACCTCCACCTAAGGTACTGCAGGGCTTTGTCCATCAGCCATATGTCGTCCTGGACCGCTCAGGCTTTGTTCGAAGTCCACGCTTACAGCCCAATCAAACAACCGTTTTTGACCGCAAAGTCTTAACTTACCGCTGGTTAGTAGGGAATGGAAGAATGGTAGTAATAGTAGTTATAATTATACCCCATTCCTCCATTCCCTACTAACCAACGGTAAGTTACTGCAGTAGCCGAGTTCCCAACATAGTGCGTTACTGGCCATCAGGCTTGTTAGGAAGTCTTTCACATGCGGGTGGTTGTCAAAATTAGGGTCCCTTTTTGGGTACCCTAAATATTAGGTGCCGGATTATAATAAGGACCCCAAAAGGGACCCTAATTTTGATTACCACCCGTGTATACGGCAGTAACCCACTGTAGAGGCAGCTGGGCTTCTACCGTCAGCATCCAGGTAGTTATACAGTATGCTCTTCGACACTCAAAGACCTCGAAAGGAACTACTTTAAGGCCTAAGTATATCTTATACGGACACATGGAGCCTTGAACCCCAAACCCCAGAACCCGTAGAGTACCCTTATAGTAGAACCCATTACGGAAACCCTTGTGGAATCCTCACAGGAACCCTGCATGGACCCTTGGGGCAAGGGAACTATCACCTCCACAGGCTCAGGGACGTGTAGATCGTGGCGAGAATAAAGAACACTTCAGGCTGCGCGGCACCTGTCGTCAGGGGGCGGATACTTAGAGGATCATGGGACTTAGTAAGTAGGTTATAATTGAGCTTATAAGTCCCCTAAGTGGGGTTATCCGAATTATAACCTACTTATAACCTTAGTTACTAAGTCCCATGAGCCTTCAACTACCTCACGGTTTGTTTATACTGCAGGGTCTAAGGTTCAGGGTTTAGGGCTTTACCAACCAACCAGCCAGCCAGCCAGGCAGCCAGCCAGCGAGCCAGCCAACCAACTAACCAACCAACCAACCAATTAACCGACCAACTAGCCAACCAATTAACCAACCAATTAACCAACCAACCAACCAACCAACCAACCAACCAACCAACCAACCAACTAGCCAACCAACTAACCAACCAAATAACCGACCAACCAATCAACCAACCCCAAAACGGCAACCGTCCCCAGAGGGTCCTTGGAAATAGGCCCCCAAAAGATCATCCGAATGTATAGCAATCATAAATTGGTGGGGGCCCAAATTCCTTAATAGTAGTACAGATTGCCTAATAGTAGTGCATATGGAACCGCTTGCATCCAAAGTTGCCCCGAAACCCTAAACCCTAAACTCTAAATCCTAAACCCTAACCGTTGCCCGTTCCTGCCTGGTGTCGCAGCCGCCATTTCGATCTGCGCGGCAATGAAGATCGAGTTGGTCACGATGATGAAGCCGAAGAATGCTTCAAACCTTGAGTTTTTGGCTTATCCAAAAGGCTCCATCTGCTTGGTTTGTATATACTAAAGCCTTATAGTAACTATGTGTGCTCATCTAGGAACCCCTTTCAGGCCTGAGTATACTCTCACAAACGTTGCAAGCCCGCTACCTAGATACCCTCGTCAACTAAGCCCCGCCATCCCGAACCCTATGCTTTTGCATCCGAACCCCACAGTAAACCCAACCTCCTGAACCCCCAAATCCCCCAGGGTCAAGTAACAAGTACCTAATCGTCATCTACTCACCACAATCCTAACCTACATAACTACTGTCCTAAAGCCGAGTACCTAATTCTTAATTGGCTAACCCTAAACCCTATATAAACCCCTTAAAGAAGCCCTTAAAGGAAGCCTAAACCCTAAACACTAATACCGAATCATTAGGCCCCTATTATTATAGAACCCTTGTAGTAGCCATTTCAGGTTCCTTATGCGAATCCTACTGTTTTGGGGCTTTAGGCCCGGGGTTTCTTCATCAGGTTCCTACATTAAGCCCTGGCAAAACCTCAAATCTGACTACGAACCAATAACCATAACGGGCAACACGACAACAGACCCTAACCACCAAAAGCCAAGATAAGCAACATGCAATAGACAGGCATAAGCCTGTAGGAGACCTCATTTCATCTGAATACGCGTCAAGCCGCCACAAACTGACTACTAACCAGTAAACATAAAGAGAAACGCGACAACAGACCCTAAACCCAAAAGCCAAGATAAGCAATATGCAACAGACAGGCATAAGCCTATACAAGACCTCAAATGATCTGAACACCCGTCAAGGCGTCATAAACTGAAATGAACTCTAAACCCTGCGCCCTCTAAGACCCTACCCAAACCGTAGGAAACCCTACAAACACCTGTGCAACCTTCAGATATCCTTCCCTACAAAACTATTCATGCTCTCCAAACCCTATTCACCTTAACCCTAAACGAAACCCTCAATCCTAGATAAAGCCGAAGGGCAGTCCAGACTTCACAAAGGGCCAGAGCTTCTTCTGCCAGGAGAAGAGATGCGCTGGCGGCGCCTGACTGCTGTTGATGATATACCCAGAGATCCTAATATCCCTTATTTACGGAATATGCCTTAAACCACAATATTAAGACCCCTATAATTTAAGGTATATTCCTTAATTAAGGGATATTGGGATCTCTGGGTAAATCCTGCATTACCTTAAGGACCCTAAACTATGGGAATTATGGTATATTCGTTTTTGTGTAGGCAATGCAGGATTTATCTCATCAACCGTCTTGAAAATTAGAAGGGTTCTACTATGTGGTTTTGGATTTGGTCGTTAGGGCTTTTAGGGGTTTAGGGTGTCAGATCCTTTGAAGGGGCCTTGAAGTTAGACTGCAGCTAACTGTCCAGGTCCTCAGATAGTAAGGTCTCAAACTATTTATTTACTTGAACTCTTTGAATGCCTGGAGAGAGCAACCTACCTCAAGCAATCAAACATGACCTACGGTTCGACTTAGAAAATGGGTTGTCTGAGGCTGCCAAAGCTACCTAAACCCTAGGGCCTTGAACCCAAGAACCTACATCATCCTTCACTGAACCATGAACCATTCTATCCTGCCCTAGCCCTGAATCCCCTAGTGCAAAAATTCTCTGAACGCACCTCCATACGCCTCTTATAACTGAAAGGGTCCATATATACACTACGATTATGCAACTAGGTCCCAAAAGACCATCCCTACTACTGTGGTTTTGTGGACCTAATTCCATGATAGTAGTATGCATGGACCTTTTGGGTAAGGAGGAGCTGTACAAATCTCTGAACCCTGTAGCGACGCGAAGCCTTGCAATCACCAAGCCCTGAATCCTCAAATCATGACCTTAAGGTTTAGGGAGTTACAGGGCTTACATACAGGGTTTAGGGTTTAGGGTTTAGGGTTTAGGGTTTAGGGTTTAGGGTTTAGGGTTTAGGGTAGGGTTTTGAGTCTAGACAAACCCTGAGTTCAAAGCCCCCCAAAAAACACTACAATACAATTTGCGACTAAACCCTTTCTGTAGCCCCAGACTTCAAACCCTACGACATAGTAGATTATGACAGGCTATCTCCCCGCTGACTGTGGGGCATACGGCTTACTTCGGCTTACCTAATATGGGCTTTTGGATCCTAAACCTCTGAACTCCTGAACCCTTCTAGTAAACTCTACACCATGAACCCCTAGTATAATCATAATACCTTCTGGGCACCTACAACACCACTGTTTCCAAAACCCTACTATACCCCAAGCCCCAACCCTAAACCCTGAATTATAGACCCGAGACCCTACAATATTTAACGGAGATCGACCTTTGCTTTGCCCAACGGGTTGATGTTGCAGAGCGCAACGAGATCGTCCCACATCCTTTAGGGTCTAGGGTTTTACAGGCTTTTTATGTGCATGGTGAGGGACTCTGGTTCCTTCAATAGGGTTCCTTTAAGGGTTCCATCAGGTTCTACCATAGGCTGCCCCTTGCATGTTCAAAAAGGGCCTTATTATGAGGGCTTCATAGAGTTAATCGAGTTTCCCGTCGGGTTGCCTGAAGGTCCATTAACCTGCCGTGTTGAAGGCTACTTACACCCTACAACTAAGGAGTCAGAAACCTACCGTTTGGTAGGGTTTAGGCTACAGGTATGTCTTGTTTCGGATTGCAGGCCAAACACTCAAGTTTGAAAGCTAAAAGAACCCCGTATAACGGCTGGTTTGACATTCCAAGTTTCGTGGCCCAGGACTTTGAGATTGAAGACTTCGGCGTCTCCGCCCCGGAGATGCTCGTAGCAAAATGGTTCTCCCCAAGGGCCTTAAGTACCTATATGCGGGATACTTACCCAAACCATAACGGTTTTTCACTGCAGACCTGTTTTCTGTATTGGGTGGTTGTTGGTCCCCTTCTGGCCCTATTATAATACGGCGCCTATTCAGGTACCCAAAAAGGGACCCTAATTTTGACAGCCACCCGTATAGGTGCTTGGGACCAGCTGGGTACATGTGACTTGAGCAGTGTTCCTGTGGGCTTTCCAAGGCTGATGCGGACCCAAAGGATCTTAACGACTGAACCCAGAGAACCCAATACCCCTTAATCAAAGAATATACCACCAATTGTAGAGGCCTTAATTTTGTGATTTAAGGTATATTCCTTAATCAAGGGGTCTTGGGATCTCTGGGAACATGCAAACAGGTATCCTAGCATTGGGTTCCCCTGAGGGTCCAAGTGCCCGAGCAGCCATCATGGAACCAGGTCCCAAAAAGCAATCCTAATCATGGCTTCGATGGGCTTAGTTCCACAATCGCAGTCTCTCTCTCTCTCTATATATATATATATATATATGTATATACATATATAGAACTGAATATACATATATATATATATATACATACATACATCCATATATACATACATACATACACATTCATGGTCATGCTGGACCCGCTCGGATCCTTGTAACGGTAAATTAGGCTCGGGCTTTGGGCGGGTACATCATCTTTTGAGCACAATATACAGCACGCTAAGGCTTCGTGTTGCCCCCTTTTCTAGGATGCCCAATAAACTAGGAATAAAAAGGGCTTCCCTTTGGTATCGGGGAACTATAAGCAACCTAAGACCACAAAGAGGGCAAGTAGGGCCCACTGGGAGGCCCAGCTTTAAATCCAGAAGAGCCCAGCCCAGAAGACCGAGCATTTGGGTCCAAGCATCTGCCGCGCCGGCGTGATCTCGGGCTCACTTGTCGACTTGTATCCTGACGAAACGCTTCTTTCGGAGCTTCGGGGTTTAGGGGCTCAGGGTTTGGGGGTTTAAAGGCTACGGCTTAATGTAGGTGCTTGGGTGTAGGACAGTAGGTTTGTAGGCTTGATTTGGAGGGAAAGTTTATTAGGCTTGGGGGCTTAACGTTGAAGCTTCTGTGGTTCCGGATTTAACGTTGAAGCTTCTGCGGTTCCGGGCACTGTTTCAGCTTTAGGTGCGGGGTTGGAGTTCCTTTAAGCTGACCCGACAAAAACTGTAGCTGACCCCTTTCATATACCAGGCTGCCAGGAAACCCCGTAGTTCGTTGCCTGGGATTCTTGAGGGAAGTGTTGTAGTATCTTATACACAAATTACTCAGGCCCCTAAAACTGGGCAGGATCCTAAAGCCATTCCCCACATCGGCTAACAGGGTTTAGAGTTTAGGGTTTAGGGTTTAGGGTGCGGCTAACATTAAACTCAACAACTATCTTTGTCAGCGTCGACCCACCGTCCGTGGGCACCCTGGTGCTCCTTCCACCTGGCATAACAATAACATCAGCTGATGCTGAGCAAGTTTTGATAGCCAACCCTACTATAGAGGCCTAAATAAGTACCAATACTAAATTGGGTGTTCCTTATTATCATTATAGTATAATGGGCCCCAAAACCCTACTCTAATTATTATATAAGGCCCCTATAATACACAGCATGCTGCGTCCCAGGAGCACGCCCCGTCAATTCAACTTGCTCCGCGCTCAGCACACATGGATGCTTGTCAAAATTGTGGTCCCTTTTTGGGTCCATATTAGAATACGGCACCTATTATTTAGGGTACCCAAAAGGGATCCTAATTTTGACAACCACCCACATGAAGTTGAAAGCCGCCGGGCCCCCTGTCGGGCAGTCTGGAGCAGGTGGGAGGCGCCTGATATCCCCAGACCTTCCAAAATCCCTCAATTACGGAATATACCTTTCATGATAGTAGGATCCCTCATGAGACTTAACTTAAGGTATATTCCTTAATTACGGAATATGCCTTAAATGACAGTAGGATGCCTGATAAGACTTAAGGTATATTCCTTAATTGAGGGATTTTGGAAGGTCCGGGGATATCATGCAATGGCGATAAGACTCGAAGAGGCCGGCCGTGGAGCCGGCAAATGCGAATGTCGCCTCGGATCCCAACCAAAACAAAACACGCCCACAACTCACAAACCTGGACCCTACCCCAGGGTTTAGGGTTTTTTGTTAAGCACCTTTTTTGGGGGTTTAGGGGTTTCGGGTTTAGGATTCTGGTTTAGGGTTTTGAAGGGCATTGCAGGGTTTAGAGTTTAATAGGGTCTCTCCCAAAGGTGTCAATGGGCTTTTCGGGGGAGGGTTTGGGCTTTGGGGGCTATTGTTTGGGATCTCACTACGAGGGTGCAGGAGCCTTAGGGTTACTATACTCTCGGAGTTCAAGCCCAAAGGGCCTTAAGTAGCTACATTTGAGATTCTTAGCCAGACCATAATAGAAATAACTAAACCCCAAACCCTCAACCCCTATAAACCCTAAACCCTAAACGCCTACTATAGGAACCCGACTTTCTACTACATTTTATTATTATAGGAGCCCTAGCCCCTCAACCCTTAATGTTGACCTAGGATTAATAATCCCCCTACGATTAAAGGCGGCCTGCGGGCGGCTCCGGCCCCAATCTGTACTACTTTAAAGGCAGCACCCAAATAAGGATCGTTTTTTGCAGAAAACCCCCACGATTAAAGGCAACACCGTCTGGGGATCTAAAATTTCAAAAAGTGCTTCGAAGACTACTTTTAAAGGGGGCAAGACTACATTTAAAGGGCGTCTTGTCCTCTTTCAAGCGGTTCTTTCAAGGGGTAGCTTTCAAGGTACTGCTGCTACTACGACTACTACTACTACTAGCACCACTGTTTACTGCAATTTGGCTTCACGGGATTATTTGGGGGTCTGTGATCCTGTGGGGGGCCTGCGACCTTGACAACCTTGAGGGGGGGGGGGGCGGGGGGGGGGTTTATTAATCAGGGGTCAACATTATAGTACCCATACATTAACCCGTATAGTAACCCTGAAGGATCCCTTGTAGGTACTTAGGACAGGTACCTACTACACCCCGAACCCTTATAGACTTACAGCCTTAAAGGAACCCTTAAAGTAACCGCTCTTTCCGTTGATGATAAAAACCCGGCATGACCCTACTGACCCTGGACTATGGGAAAAATGATACATTCCCTCTTATTATGGGTAATGCAGGATTTGCATCATCAACCCTAAACCCTAAAGCCTAAACAACCCATAGATCCCTTAAAGGAACCCCTTAAAGGGATCCACAAAAATCCCTTTAAAGGAACCCTCTGGGAAGAAGTGAAAGCCCTAGAACCGATTCCAGAAGCCTGTGTTGACCAGCGTGTCCAGGCTGGCATGGGTTCCTGTTCAGAGGGGTTTAAGTGTTTGGGTGTTTAGGGTTTTAGGGGTTGGGTTTAGGGTTTAGGGGTTTAGTTTAGGGTTTAGAGGTAGGGTTCGGGGGTTTAGGGCCGAGGGGTTTAGGGCTTAGGGGCTTAGCCATAGGGGCTTAGGGTTCAGAATGGGGCTTATAGGGTTTACGGTTTAAGCGTTTAGGATTTAAGCTTTCTGCTAGCATTTCGGGTAACGTTTCCTAAACAAATTTACTGTCAGGCGTTTAGGGTCTCTGAAGCAAGGGTGTAGTGTCGAGTTTTCATTTTTGAGCATTGGGTTTCGCCTCTTTATTTGAAGTGGCTCGGGGGTGGCGGCCATTATGATGAGCATGGATACTACTTAGGGTCTGTCTCGGGGCTCCTCTTGCGGAAGCAGGGTATCTTCCGGTTTTTGTCAAGGGTCAGTGTATAGCTGGGGGAAGGTTTGAGCTTTGGGGGCTAAGGTTTGGGATCTCACTACGAGGGTCCAGGAGCCTTAGGGTAAGCACTTAACCTGCACTTAAGATCCTCTTAAGCCCCAAAAAGAACAAATATGAAATGTCCCAAAGCCCTACCGAGTAACCTGTAGCGCGACGGCATGCAGAGGTACAGAGTCAAGAGGTCAAGGCTTCGAGTACTTTGAGTACCTAGGATACCCAGTAACCTAAGAATAAAAAGGCCTCTCTTTTTGGTATTGGGTAATTTTATAAGGAACATAGGACTACAAAAAGGGAATAAGGGCACTACTGGGCATCCTAGTTGAGTACTACAAGGCGGCTCTGGGTCTTCAGATAAGTTACACTGCAGCTAGGATGCCCAGTAACCTACTTGGAAGGGCAGGGGACTTAGTAAGTAGGTTAGAAGTAGAGTTATAAGTGCCCTAAATGGAGTTACCCCGATTATAACCCTACTTATAACCTACGGGGGGTAGATAACCTACTGATCCCTCGTTCTCTCTAGTGCTCCCGAAGGTCCCCTTAAGGTTCCCTAAGGATCCCTTACACCCTCCCCCCTTGAACCACCCTTCTTTAGGGACCCTTTGATTACAGGAACCCTCCCTACCCAGGGCCCTGAGAGAAGAATTCTATTACAGGCGGGCATAGGAGAGCTCTTAGGGGACCAAAGCCGCAAATCCCTTTAGGGCGCAAAAAATTCGGGCATCCGTCCTGCCGATCCAGCAGCTAAGTACTGGAGGGCATGGAAGGATTTCCTCGGACACTTCGGGTGGCTGAGGGTTTAGGGCGCAAGGCTCGGGGTGTAGGGTTTAGGGTGTAAGTCTTGGGGTGCAGGGTTTAGGGTGTAAGGCAGGCCTACGGATATGTGCTGGGCCAGTATTACCTACCTTGGGGGGTTTAGGTAGGGGTAAAGTTTAATGGTTCAGTGGGTTGTAAAGAGGGTTTAGGCTAGGGTAGTTTAATAGGGTTGAATGGTTCCTGAAGAGGCCAAATCTGCCCAAGATCGTAGGTGCTTTAAATCGCCAGATTAACAGCGCTATCCAACTCCAGGGAACGCAGAGGGTTTAGGGTATAGGATTTAGGGCTTAGGGGCTAATTAACTTCTGACTAGGTTTCAAGAATCGTGATAACCAAGGGACGTCGGACTGGGTGATCATGGTTACCACTAGGGTAGGGTACATTACCCCGAACTTCCAAGTAAACCTAAACTTGGCCACAGCTGCCGCTGGACGGAGTTGCGACGACCTGTCGTTGGCATCCTGGGCTGAAGCTTCTGTATGGGGGAGTTTCCGAAACTTTGGGGCACCTTTGTTTGGGGTCCTTTTAATAAGGTTCCCACCCGCAATTTTCGGAAACTCCCATATGGGGAATTCGTAAGGGTTCTTCAAGCTTTAGAGTTGCGGGAATTTTCAGAACTTTGGGGCTTAGGGCTTGGGCTACAGCGGCCTATTTCTCAGGTTGCCGGGGGAGGGTTTACATGTTGGGGGGCAGGGTTTCAGGATCTGCCTGCAAGGGTGCGCAAATAGCAAGCCCGACAGCCCAGAATTGTGATAAACTGAAGGTTTAGGCGGGTTTAGGGCGAAATACGTGGCTGGGGATTGATGCATTGCAGGGTGTTGCATTGCAGGGTTTTGGTTGGAGACCACAGCTAGGGCTGGTGGGTTGGGGAACAGTGCGCGATGACATACTCTAACTGCATAATTCAAAAAATGGCACTGCAGTGTCGCTCACGATTCTGACCGTAGCCCAAATATGGTGTAGCCCTGAATTCCTAGCCCCAACTACCCCAAGAAGCCCAAAGAAATATCCCTGCTTGCCCAATATCCTGGGGAACTACAAGTTAACCTTGGGGAGTACGTTGGGGTTATATGGGGATTGCACTGCCCTCAGAAGTTAAAGGTTACCTACTCTACTACTAGGGTACTTATTATGTTCCTTAGCTCCCACATGGAACCCTGACAGATCCTTTCAAGGAACCCTCAGTTAGTCTACCTACTCCACGACTGGATATCTCAACAACAACGAATTGGCTACCGAGATTCTCTGGTCCGTCCTGGTAAGATTTGTTCACCGTCCTGCCACAGAGAGCGTTTCGGACTAGAGATTCATGCCCTACCCCTGTTCAGGGTACCTAGGTTCATGGCTCGGATCTGCTATATGGACAAATAAGTACCCCCCCCCCAATAAAAACGGGTAGGTCATGACCCCAGAGGTAGGGCTCAACCTGGACCCTGGAAAACCTACCCTTGTTAGTCAATGATTTCCTTATCTAGTTCCTGCAAACCCTACCCAGACCTTCCAAAATCCCTTAATTAAGGAATATCCCTTAAATCATATTAGGGGGGATCCTACTATAATTTAAGGTATATTCCTTAATTAAGGGATTTTGGAAGGTCTGGGTACGAAAGCTTTGTGGGGTGTAGGTACGGGATCATCTCGGGCTTAAGGTTCAGAGGTTTAGGAAAAAAACTATCAGAAAGTCGGAAAGCCTAAGCCCAGGGTTTCAGGAGAGCGTCAGAGACTCCCTAAAACCCTAAAACCTAAACCCTAAACCCTGAAAACTCGGTGTCTCGAAAGCTTAAGCTTTGCTGCTTGGGTGGGCTTCGGCAGCCTCCAGAGACCCTCAAACCCTCGACTGGACGGTTTAGGTAGGGTTTAGGGTTTAGGGGCCTTGTAATCGTTGGAGATGTTGATGGCTCCCTGACATACGGTTGATGATATAAATCCTGCATAACCTTACAGTCCCTCGATTATGGGAATTTCGGCATATGCCTTACTATGGGTCATGCAGGATTTATATCAGCAACCGTAGTATATACTTAGGCCCCAAAGTACCTATATAGGGCAAAGTATACTATTTGAGTACATGGACCCTTAGCTTTCGGGTTGAGCGTCAACCGTATGGGTAATGCAGGTTTTATACTTGAAGGCTCATGGGACTTAGTAAGTAAGGTTATAAGTAGGTTATAATTTGGATAACCCCACTTAGGGGACTTATAAGCCCAATTATAACCTACTTACTAAGTCCCATGATCCTCTAAGTACCATCAATCGTGTTGATGTCAAAGGCCAAGACCAACCATCCTCGAAGGAGGTAGGGAACGGTGCCCATACTGCTGATGGACAAAATCCTGCATTACCTATTATATATAAGCAATATACCATAGTTCCCATGGTCTAGAGTCCTTAGGGTCATGCAGGATTTTGTCCATCAACAGTAGTGCTGTCGAAATCTGTTCCAAACGGGCAAAGTGATGCTCTGCAGTGGTCCCTGGGGGTTTAGGGGTTTGGAGGTTATAGGGTTTGGAGGGTCATTTAAAGTTTAAGGCTTTAGGGGCTTAGCAAGGGGTTTAAGTTATACAAGTTATACAGGGTTTGCAGGGTTTAAAGCTTCAGAGTTTAAGGGTTATACGATTTGTAGGTCTTGTGGGGCTTAGGGGTCCCAGAACTTCCCAAATCCCTTGATTAAGCAATATACCATAACCTATAATAAGATCTTTAATCTGATTTACGGCATATTCCTTAATTAAGGGGATGAAGGTCTGGGGTTATAGGGTTTAGGGCTCAGGAAACCCGCGACCTGCAACCGAGATACCCTTCAATGAAACCAACCCGAGAACCCCAAATCAAAGCAACATATTCTGCAACTACCCATCGGCTTCATCGTAGTTTTTTTTGGGATGACCTTATAGGATCCTACGTATGAACCCCAAAGAGGAACTAATGTGGAGCCTATGGGTATATACTCCCACAGAGTAATTAGGCTATTTGGAACCGCAGGCAACCAGGAGACCTGAAATCATGGAGGACCTAAATCCCAAATTCTACCCTAAGGCTCCTGGACCCTCGTAGTGGACCTACAAGAACCCAGTGATCCTTTGGAAGGACCTTGTTGCCTTAAGGGTCCCCCTAAGGGAACCCACGTCCAAGGACCTCCTAACCCCTACGCCCTAAGCCCTAACCCTAAACCCTAAACCCTAAATCCCTAAACCCTGAATCCCTAAACCCTAAACCCTAAAACCCTAAATCCCAAAACCCTAAACCCAAATCCTTAAATCCCTCAACCCTAAACCCAAATCCTTAAATCCCTCAACCCTAAACCCTAAATCCCTCAAACCCTAATCCCTAAACCCCTAGACCCTAAATCCCTAAAACCCTAAAACCTTAACCCTGAACCCTAAAACCCTAAACCCTAAACCCCTATAAACCCTAAATCACCTGTCCTTTCGGAATTCGCTTCAGACCTCCAGGTCTCCTGCAACGCCCACGGGGGGAAACTTCTGGGTAGCGGTTCAGGGCTGTCCCTACCCCGGGTTGGGTTTAGGGTTGTGCGTTGTGGGTTTAGGGCTTCTTTACAGGAGTTTTTTTCCCAGGACCATCCAAGGGCCCTTTAATGGAGCCCTTAAATTGGATTTAGTGATACTTGGAGGGTCTTTAGGTGACTTGGCAAGGGCTCTTAAAGGGTTCCTTAAAGGGATCTATAGGGCTCCTTAAAGGGATCTATAGGGTTCCTTAAAGGGATCTATGGGGTTCCTTAAAGGGATCTATGGGGTTTAGGGTTTAAGGGTTTAGGGTCTACTTGGAGGGTCGGGGGACTTAGTAAGTAGACTTATAAGTACCCTAAAATGGACCCTAATTGGGGTTATGGTACTTGTAAGTCCTTGAAATAACCAGTGACTAAGTCCCCCGACCCTCTGAGTAAGGGTTTAGGGCCCAAGGACTCCCCATTATGGGCTCCTTTAAAGGGATCTATACGGGTACTATAAGGTTTTAGGGTTTAGGGTTTATAGGGCCCAAGTACTCCCCATTATGGGACTTTAGGGGTTTAGGGTTCAGGGTTTAAGGCCAAAAAGCACATCTATACGGGTACCATAAGGTTTTAGGCCTTATAGGGCTTAGGGCTTGGTATGGTTTCGTAGGGCTTAGTAGGATTTAGAGTTTAGTAGGGTTTAAACACCAAGGCTCCCCCAAAGGGGTCATGGGCTTTCTGGGGGAGGGTTTCGGCTTTGGGGGCTGAGGTTTGGGATCTTACTACGAGGGTCCAGGAGCTTTAGGGTAAAGGTTTAGGGTTTAGGGTCCAGGCGCTCCCTGCTATGGGACTTTGGGTCCATTCTGGGTACCAAGAACTATACATAAGGAATACTTGCACTCTTAGGGGTTCGAGCTCAAGAAGAGGAGGGTTTAGGGGTTAGAGTTTGGGGTTTTCGAGGGATTAATTAGGTTTCAAGGGAGTAGGTGTGGGAGATTGCTGGAGCATGTCGGCAATCAAAAGACAAGGAGCAGGAGGAGGAGTATTACGAGAGGGAGGAACCCCGCAACCCCGAAATAGAACCCAAAAAGGAGTCCCTCAACGAAACCCTATGTGCCCCAATCCCATAGATTCTCAGTTGCCAGAATGGATATAGAACGCAGGCTCTCGATGGGAATTCCTAAACCAACCTAGCACGGTAAAGCCATGGTAACAACTAACTTGCGAATGCCGTGATCCTGCAGTAATCACCCTGTGCCAACAAGGACAGAAAGTTCCAAGCCGTTAAGCCCCATCGGTGCCGGCGCACCAAAGCGCAAACCTTACGCACAATCGTCAATCCCCAAATCCTTTCAAAACCCAAAGGGTCCTAGGTACTGTTATGGGAGATACTTCCCCAAATCATAGTAGTAATTCCTGATATGGAAACCCTACATTCTACTATGTAGGTACTTTGGACCCTTAGGGAAAGCCAAGCTTCCAAACCTTAAACCCCTTCAGGCCGCCTGCGTCTTCCACTTGGGATTCGTGTCCGTCTCCTGCCCGACATCCGACTTCATTGCGCGGCTTGGGGGCTCCAGGACGGCACACATACATATGCACGTACACACATACCTATACCTACATATATATATATCCAACATATACATACATACATACATAGGTAGGTACATATGCACACAAATCTACCTACCTACCCACCTACCGACCTCCCTCCCCACCTATACTTCCCTATATCTACTTGCATCTTACTGCCTACCTACATTGATTACATACATAACCGGTACTTAGGCCCGGCAGCGTTTGCCGTATGGCTACTTAAAACCGCGGCTTGTGCCGTGATACGGAATGTTGCTGGCTCCCAAGACCTTCGACTTCAGTTTTGGGTAAAGCGCTTCTTACTTGGGGATCCAAAAACCTAAAGTGTTGAGGTTATACCATGAAAAGAAAGGGCCACAGGTACAGCCTGAACTGGCACCAAGATCCTTACGCTCCTCCGGAACCGCATCAAGGTCACCCAGAACCCCTAAATCCTAAGCCCTAAACCGAAAATCCTGAACCCATATAGAGCCCGTTAAGGAACCCTAAACCCTGTTGCGGGCCATGGCCGCTTCAGCAGAGCCGCCTGCTGTCTCTTACCTAATTCTCGACGGTCTTCCCTGGACATCTCTGCCCATGCGGCGCTGTTCATTGCCTTCTCTTTTCTCTTGAACATCTGCTTTGTACTGAAACTCAAAATCCAGGAGAGTGGCAACCGTATCTTGAACCAAATCTTTATCGCCGTCAACCTTGTTCAAAAGGCGAAGCTTCATTCCCACATGGCAGGGCAAAACCCCGTGCCCGAAGCCGGTCTTGCAGGGATTCGCTTGACACAGAAAGCTGGTCATCGCAGTCCGGCTCAGCAGCCGACGAAGTGGAAGAGGATGCTTCAAGCGTTTCGCAAAACTCAACGCTTTGTACAGCTTGAACCCTTCCCCGATGCACTCTCTATAAAACCTACCCATATGAATCCTAAGCCCGAATTAAACTGCAGGAAGTCGGAACATGGAGCCAGGCTGCTAAATGCTGGGATGACCCATACTGTACCTGCAGGGCACTAGGACGGCATCATAGAACAAATTTTAAGGGAATAGTATTATATCCACTTCAAGTACTGCCCAGCAACGTATTCTGAAATCCATTCCGGCCCCTGCACTGGAAACCCCATGAACCCTACACCCTAAGCCCCTTGGTTTAGGGTTTAGGCTTTAGGGTCTAGGGTACCCCAAACCCTAAACCCTAAACCCCAAACCCTTAAATCCTGAACCCTAAACCTCCACAACCCAGATCAAAGGGGAGAAGGAGGGACCCTTAATGGGGACCCCTAGGTATATACCCATTATATAGCCCATTATAGGGTCAGCGTCCCCCCCCCCTTGGGGCGCCCTGCAGAACGCCTGCCAAGAACCCGTGAGCAGACCTCCCCAGCCAGAATGTAAACCTCTACCCTAAGGCTCTTTAAAGGGGTCTTAAGGGTTCCTTTAAAGGGATCTATAAGGGTTTAGGGTTTTTATATAGGGTTTTGGGTATATATGGGGTTTAGGGGTTTAGGGTTTCCCCTAAGGCTCCTAAACGGGTCATGGGCTTTCTGGGGGAAGGGTTTGGGCTTTGGGGGCTAAGGTTTGGGATCTCACTACGAGGGTCCAGGAGCATTAGGGTAAACCCAAGCCATAAGGGCCCATGTACTCATGCAGCATTCCCTTTAGGGTTCCTCAAAGGGCTACTTTGAGCGTACCTTTAAGTGTTGTATAGGGGCTCGAACAGACTAGATAGGTTTCATAGACATAGACTAGATGACTAGATAGATAGAAAGAAAGCAAGAATACACACTCCCGAAGCCTTGTACCACTACACCCAAACCCTGTATATACTTAAACCCTATTATACCCCTCCTTAAAAAGCCCTATACCTCTAAACCCCTAAACCCTGTAAACCCGAAAAACCCTCAATCCTTAAACCCCCTAAACCCGAAAAGGCTGTTATAGAGTTCTTAAAGCCTTAAAGGAGCTCCGAAAGAGCCCTAAAGCTATTAGACCTCCTACGTTCCATACCCCTACACCCTGTAAACCCTATAACCTAAGCCTTAAACCATAAATCCTAAATCTCCACCTTAAAAAACCCTAAAACCTAAACCTTATAAAGCATAAAGGCATAAATCATACATCTCCACTAAAAAACCTACAATACCCCTAAACCCTATAAACTAAACCTTGAAGCATAAATCATACATCTCTACTTCAAAAAAGGCCCACAACTCGCCTCCATGCAAACGGTTTGGAGCCGCGAAAGCCAATCTTCGAGGAGCTCGAAGAGCTTTTGGTCACTCTCCTTCACGGGTTCCCTTACCTAGAGGCTTCATATATAGTACCATTATGGAATTAGGTCCCCAAAGCCATAATATGGATGGTTTTTTGGGACCTAATTCCATAAACTCTCCTTTACGGGTTACCCAGAACTTCCAAAATCCCTTAATTAAGGAATACCTAGGGCCTAGGGTTCCTTTAAAGGGGTCCTTGCGGGTTCCTTCAAGAGATTGATAAGGGATCTATATGGTTCAGGGTTTCAGACCTTCCAAAATCCGTTAACTAAGGAACATACCGTACATCATATTAGGGATCCTACTATGATTTAGGGCATATTCCTTAATTAAGGGGTTTTGGAAGGTCTGGGTCCTTTAGGGATGTAGAGGGGCTCCCTGAACGACTCGACTCCTGCAAGGGTTTCCTTTAAGTTTAGGGTTAAGGATTTAAGGTTTAGGGATTAGGGCTTCGGGCCTAGGGTTCTGGGGTTTGGGTTTTTGGTCACTCTCCTTTTAAAGTCGTCTAGAAAAGGTTCCTTGAAGGCACGAAAGGGCTTCAAGCAAGGGTTCCTCTCAGGGGTTCTTGGATACTTTATTCTTATGTCTTTAAAGATGAAGGGTTCAGGGTCCCCGTCAAGGGTGTAGAAGAAGGGGTTCCGTTCCTTTTTTGAAGCGCTAAACGTGCCTGTATATTCGCTAGGAGCATCCTTGCTACCCTGAGGGCCCATGTATCCAAACAGTGCATACTTTTGTCCCAAAGTACCCGTATATAGGGACTACTTCAAGGCCAAAGCGTATGCTATTTGGGTCTATGGACCCTTAAACCCTAAACTCTATAGGATTCTGATAGAACCCTTACAGTAGACGACCCTTAAAGGAAAGGTACCCTTACACTGTTTAATCGCAACTCACGGCGTGCCTTCAAGACTTCGTAGACAGAGCCAGCATTGTGGCTCGAGTCTTGCGTGGCAAGGCTTGCCTGTATGGCAGGGCTTACAACGGTTTAGGGTTTAGGGTTTCCCTAAACCCTAAACAGGTTTGGGGCTTTACTGTGAGAGCTCCTCGGGTTTAGGGCAAGGCTTGTAGGATTGCAAAATCGCCGACACCCGGCTCAGGGTCTAGGGTTTATATAGGGGTTTAGGGTTTAAGGTCCACCAAACCAGAAGCATTGAATCCCAACCGTAGAACAACCCAAAACTATAACCCTAAACCCTCAGACCCCTGAACCCTTGAGGGTTTAGGTCCTGGGGGACTATATAGGGGGTTGGGGTTTTCTGGCTTATTCCCCAAACCTTCCTACCACAAGACCGAGAAACTACACCACACCCCCAACGCCCAGGCTTCGCTCGTCCCTTCTCCCCTCAAACCTGCCCTTGTAGAATGCGAGTTTCCGACAATCAGGGTCTTATTTTGGGGTCCCTAGAGGCTCCATATAGAGAACCATTATGGAATTAGGTTCCAAAAACCATAACAAGAATGGTCTTTTGGGGCCTAATTCCATAATGGTACTATACATGGAGCCTCTGGGGTCCTTATAACCCAGACCTTTCAAAATCCCTTAATTAAGGAATATACCTTAAATCATATTAAGGGTCTTATTTTGGGGTCCTTATAATAAGGATCCTACTATCTCGGGTATATAAACCGCAAAGCCGAAGTCGCGCCTGGGGTCCGGAGAACCAGGGTAGGCTCCCACCCTGCGCCCAGGCTTTGGGATTCCTTACCCTAAGGCTCCACAGAGGGAAGAGGGCTCCCTTAAAGAACGGGTCATGGAACCCTTTAAAGGGATCTATAAGGGTTTAGGGTTTAATTGGGTTTATATAGGGTTTAGGGTATATATAGGGTTTAGGGCTTTAGGATTCCTTACCCTGAGGCTCCATGAGGCTCCTAAACCCAAAGGGTCCTAGGTACTGTTATGGGAGATACTTCCCCAAATCATAGTAGTAATTCCTAATATGGAAACCCTACATTCTACTATGTAGGTACTTTGGACCCTTAGGGAAAGGGGTTAAGGGTTCCTTTAAAGGGATCTATAAGGGTTTAGGGTTTATATAGGGTTTAAGGTATAGATTACTATTTTGGAGAGCATCTGATAAGTAAGTACCCACTCAGAGACTCAGAGCATGGATCTGGGGGGATCTATAGCTCCAAGTTTGGGTATTAGGGTATGTATGGTATAGGGTTTAGGGTATATATGGGGTTTAGGGTATATATGGGGTTTAGGGGTTTAGGGATTACCCTAAGGCTCCACAGAGGGTCTTGGGCTTTCTGGGGGGGGTTTCGGCTTTGGGGGCTAGGGTCCGGGATCTCACTACAAGGGTCCAGGAGCCTTAAGGTGAAGGATGCCATAAGTTCAGGTTTTGGGGGAGGGTTTGGGCTGAAGATGTAAATTTTAATTGTAGCTGTAAGCCCGAAAATCCCCAACATCGACCGCCTCACTCCGATGGTTTGGGAAGCTAGGTTTCTGAGTAACCCCTTTATAATAAGGCTACCCTTTTTCCTACTATTCGGTTTTAATAAGGGGACCCCTCACTAAAAAGGGCAAAAGGGCACTACTCAGGAACCTAGGAAGTTGCGAGCATGAAGACGTCTGTTGACCCTTGATGGAGCCCTTGTGGTTTTTAGGGTCCTTGATTCGATGGCTGGTTGTGCCTTGTGGTTGGCATGTCTTGGGATTCTCTAGCGTCCCAATGGGACCGATTGCCTCAACACGAAACCTACACCCAAAATGCAAGCAATATACCCTAAGGGTCCATGTACTCATATAGTATATACATTGGCCTTAAAGTCCTCCCTATATAGGTACATTGGGCCCAAAGTATATGCTATATGGGCACATGGACCCTTAGGGATATCCCAACCTCAAATCCCACGTCAAAACCTTAAAGCCCTGCATCCCCACGTAAAACCACAATTCCCCAAAACCCTAACCCCTAAACCCTAAGCCCTAAACCCTAAGCCCTAAACCCTAACCCCTAAACCCTAAGCCCTAAACCCTAAGCCCTAAACCCTAAGCCCTAAACCCTAAGCCCTAAACCCTAACCCAAAACCCTAACCCCTAAACCCTAACCCAAAACCCTAACCCCTAAACCCTAACCCAAAACCCTAAGCCCTAAACCCTAACCCAAAAACCTGAGTTCTGGCGCTTCCACAGGGTCCCCAAGCATCCCAGACCTTCCAAAACCCCTTAACTAAGGAATATACCTTAAATCATATTAAGGGTCCTACTATAATCAATTTAAGGTATATTCCTTAATTAAGGAATATACCTTACATCATATTAAGGGTCCTACTATAATTTAAGGTATATTCCTTAATTCAGGGGTTTTGGAAGGTCTGGGATCATACCGTACACCCCAAAGAAGGTCCTTCAACCCGTGAAGCAGCAGCCCGACACACCCTAAAACCCCCCAAACTAAGAGTTACGGTTGATGATATAAATCCTGGGGTTCCTTTAAAGGGATCTATAGGGGGTACCTTTAAGGGGCCCCTTCAAGGGATCTATAGGGGGTTTAGGGTTTAGGGTTGATGATATAAATCCTGCATTACCCATAATAAGGAATTTACCATAATTCCCATAGTTTAGGGTCCTTAAGGTAATGCAGGATTTATGTCATCAACCGTAGTATTAGGGCGATCCTTGAGGATATAGACCATCTCAACAAGGTCCCTTTTTAAGAGTGCCAGACGTAGGGCTGAGAAGCACCTTTAAGGGGTCTCCCTGATACTACTTGATGCTACCGAGGACCAACCCTAGCTAACCAGTGGTTTTGGGGTTCCCCTGGCTCTTTAGCTCCTTATGTACAGGGGATTATCATCATCCCTGGCTCCTTAGCTCCTCCCATATCAACAGTTAGCTAAGCACATGGACCTTCCCAGTGCCATTCACCGAGCCATTCAAGTTCCCACCGAAGGCAGTCTTGTCCAAGAGAGCCTTGCGCCAGCTAATGTTTGCAGGTGCTACAAATTTTATCAAGCTTTCTGGAAACATGTCACGTTTTCGAAGGGCAGTTGAAAGCTTTATGAAGGCTTATAGGTGCTGTATGGGGATGTACAAGTGGTTTTTGGAGTTTATGGATTTATGGATGTGCAAGTTCTTTGGAAAGGTTTAGAAAGCATTGGAAATAAAGGCTTAACGTGGGCTATGATGCCTGTATAACGAAGGTCCCCTGAACGGGAGGCTCACTGGCCTAAGAGTGATTTATAAAAGGAGAGAGCAGTTCCACGAATCTGAGGTTTTAAGGCTTCGGAATCAGGGTTTTAGTGTTTCGGGTGCAGGGGAGGGGCTAGCGTGTAGAGTTATTGAAGACCGACATGTAAGGGAGCCATAGGTGGGGCCAATATACGGGCCTGAATGATTGCAATATTGCTGATGGATTCTGGGATACATGCTAGAAGAGGTATATTGGGCCTATACTATCCATTGTAGGTCCTTCTTGACTAAATCCCCATGAAACCTTTGAAGGAAGCCTGAAAGGAACCTACAGCCAGAACTTCCAAAAACCCTTATTTAAGGAATATCCCTTAAGCCATATTAGGGATCCTACTATAATTTGAGGTCTATTCCTTAATTTTGGAAGGTCTGGCCACCGGGCCTGCAACCTGTATAATTGGGGTAACTCCATTTAGGGTACTTATAACTCTACTTATAACCTACTTCCTAAGTCCCCTGCCCCGCCAAGTACACCGGGCCTGCAACCTGGACAGCCACTCTCCGAGGTGGTTGAAAAGCTCCCGATCTCGCTCCCGGCACCACTCCTGGGAAAAGGATGGTCAGAGACCCTACCTCTTGGGGATCCCCAAAACCTTACCGTTTAAGGGTTCCTCTTGGGTGTTCCTTTAAAGGATCCATAGGATTTAGGGTTTGGGGATCCAAAAACCTACCGATAATATATTTTTTTCGCCGGGGGGACTTAGTAAGTAGTTATTCTGTAGACGTATAAGTACCCAAACCCCAGTATGGTTGAGTGTTGAAGGTTGACCTGGACCCTAAAGAACCTATACACCTTTTCAGGGTTCCTTGTTATGATTTCCTTATGTAAGTCCTAAACTAAACAGGTAAGTTCTTTAGGGTTACGGTGCATCGCATGCCATGCCCAATCTCTCTAGCCCTGATCATGGATGGAGGCCTACAAGATGAATCATTCTAAATCCAGCAGAACCCCAAAGCAAAACCCCTTCTAAATCCGCTCAGAAACCCGAAAGAGACCCTAAAGCATTGAACCTACACCCAGGCCGCAATACGGTTTAGGGTTTAGGGTTTAGTGGTTTAGGGACCCAGGCCGCAATGCCGTGTCAAAAAAAACCAGGATTACCCAATTGCTCACGCTTCAGTTCTAACTCCGAAGACTTAACAGAGAAAGTGCAGAAGGGTACTGCTGCTGGTACCCATAGGCTCCATAGTAGTTCCTTTTTGGGTTTACCTTATAGGATTCTAAGTATGAGCCCCAAAAAGGAACCACCATGGAGCCTCTGGCTATTTGCTTAAACAGAGACAGCCAACCAGGAAAGCTTTCTAGGGCTTTGACCCTTATAGAACCTGCAAAGGATTCTGGGAGGGTGCTAGGTACCAAAAACCCACAATTAAGTACTCGGGTTCAGGATAGTAGTTGTGGAGGTCACTGTTTTGGAGAGTACCTACAGGCTCATACCCTACCCCTTTTTTAAGGTACCTACTTTTCTATATAGGAGATCCTAACCATAAAACTAACTAGGTACCCTAAAAAAGGGGTAGGGTATGACCCTCTAGGTATGTGATAATTAAGTATCCACTCAGGGACTCAGAGTATGGATTTTGGGGATCTATAGCTCCAAGTTTGGGTACTACCCTAAGGCTCCCCAAGGGGTCATGGGCTTTCTGGGGGGCGGGTTGGGGCTTTGGGGGCTAAGGTTTGGGATCTCACTACGCAGGTCCATGAGCCTTGGGGTAAGACCCTCTGGCAAAGTGGCGTTTCAATGGGAGTCGAAAGTTTGGGCAGAGCCTTCAGCTAAAACCCTGAGGTTTAGGGTGTAGGTATAAGCTTTAAGGGCTCAGCGTTTAGGGTGTAAGGCCTTATAGGGCTTAGGGGCTTGGGGTTTACCTTATCCTACCAAACCCTGCGTTTCTGTACACCCTAATGTGGAATCTATAGGGACCCTACTTTTTTGTAGGTTTGGGTAGGTTAAGTTAAGGGCTAAAAGGGTTTAGGGCCCCTTTAACAACCCTTTGAGCCTCCACCTCCATCCAGAGATCCCAATTTTCCCTTAATTAAGGAATATACCTTAAATTATAGGGCCTATAGGGGCCTTCATATTATGGTTTAAGCTATATATCTTATTTAAGGGATATTGGAGTCTCTGGGCGGGGGTTTAAGGTCCCTTAAACAACCCTTGAAGCCTCCACCCCTACCTGAATCTGCCGGGAGTCCAGGAGATCTAGAGGCGGCTTCTGGCCGTCGGTGCCCGGCACGGTCAACTTTAAGGCCAGCATGGCACGTCAATTCTATTTTTGGGAAGTTCCTTTAAATCGGTTTAGGGTTGAGGGGCTCCTGTCTTCAAGGGCTCCTTGAAGGCTTCCTATTTCTTTAAGGTCCCTTTCAGGGTTCGTTCCTTTCAGCGCTTTGTACTTTAAGGGTTCCTGTAAGGGCTCGAGCTTCGGCCAGGTGATCGGGGAGAAGTCTTGGTGGTTCTGTGAACATCTACCTACTTAAACCCTAAACCCTAGACCCTAAACCCTAAACCGCATAAGGGTCTACAAGGTGTTTTTCTACAAGTGCTTCATAGGGTTTATGTCAGGGTTTGTATGAAGGTTTCTTATTCTATCAAGGGTCAGAGGAGCGTGGTACGCTCTTGTATATTGCTCTTGTCGAGGCACGTTTGCGGAGTCGTCTGGTTCTGGCACCTTGGGAATTTGGCTATAGAGTTTGGGGCATACGAAGTCGCGCAGAAACTGTGATGACCCTACACAACAAAACCCAATACAAACTTAACGCCATCCAAATAACCAAGCCTTAAACTCGGATGCTTTTGGAGAGGTGCCCAAACCCCAAAATCCCTAAACCCCTAAACCCCTGCAAGATCTGCTTACTAGCTATGGCCTGGTTCTCTGATACTTTGGGGAGGATCTCCGCAAGATCTTCCTAGGACCTGCTCTTTGACAAGCCTTGAACCATGAAATGGAGAGAGGCAATCTGCATTAGGGGCTTAGGGTTTAGGGAGGGAGTATCGTTTAGGGTTCCCCTAAACCCTAAACCCCTGAACCCTAAACCCTGGGAGTAGGGTTCAGGGCTTTATGGTCTAAGGGTTTAGGGTTCCTTTCAAGGGATCTATAAGGGTTCTTTAAAGGGGTCTGGGGGCACTATAAAGGTTCCGGTGTTTAAGGTTTAGGGAGGGAGTAGGGTTTGGGGGTTCCTTTTCAAGGGATTCACAAGGGTTCCTGCCCTTAAATGAATCTGGGTGCTTGGGGGGGTTTAGGAGTTAGGGTCTTAGCGTTTAGGGTTTGGGGCTTTGGGTTTATGTAGGGAGTACCTGGGGATCCAAAAACCTTCTGTTTTAAGGGTTATACCATCTAACTAAAGGGTCCATAACTTACTATTTTGTAGGGTTTGGGGATACAGGTAAGGCTTACGGGTTTAGAGTTCCGGGTGTAAGGTTTAGGGATTAACGGCTCAGGCTTTAGGGATTAGGGGCTAGGGAAAAACGGGCCCACCGGGATGCCCAAAGAACCAGCACACCCACTTCGGCAAGGAACAGCCCTTGGGGCTATAGGGTCGCTGAAAAAACCATGTTCGAATTCAGAATGAGAACCTACACCCTAAACACTAAACCGTGGTGGTAGTCAAAAGTGGGGTCTTACCGCGAGCATCTAGGATTCTGGGACCAGGCTGTGCGCACGTGCTTACGGACGACATGAACCCTAAAGGGTTGAAAAATCGTAGACAAGAAAAGGACCCCAGAACTCTTTTCAGGGCCGCTTGGTCCTTAATGTCTAAAGGTTTTAAGGTTGGTACTAAGAGAAGAGGACCCCAAAATACTTTTCAGGGCATCTTAGTCCCTAAGGTTTGATAGCGTTACGGTCTAGGGCACTAGGGCTGCATCCGGGTTCTACCAGCACTGGGGTTCTATGAGGATTGTACAGGGTTCGATCATCCGTTTATGAAGAGCTTGCAGAGTGGGCTTTGGGATTCAGGATTCATGGCTTCATGGTGGTTGCTTTGATGTTTCTATGCCTAAGCCCTAAACCCTAAACCCCTGAACCCCTAACCCCTAACCCCTAAACTCTCAACCCTAAACCCCTAAACACTAAACCCGACAGTTTTGTTAACAGCGCATAAAGTTTACCCTCAAAGTCTGGGAATCCGCCTAAAAAGGGTGTCGGAATATGCCGAGGAAGCTGTGTGGGGGGGCCGAGTCTGAAATGAAACCTAAAAGAGTTGCAAGGTTCATCTAACCAGTGGTTTTGGGGTTCCCTTGGCTCTTTAGCTCCTTATGTAAGGGGGATTATCATCATCCCTGGCTCCTTAGCTCCTGACATATCAATGGTTAGTCATATACCATGCAGGGATTAATAGTATATGGGCATGCAGCCCCTACTTTTCCAGGTCTCTCGGTCCTTAAGGAGTTGTGAGGGTCCCGAAGTATCAGGACCTAGGGTACACCCTAGGTCTAATGAAGATTCGTCAACACCCGAAAAAAACTCTAAACCCTAAACCCCTTATGGCAACCCTAGCCTCTTCAAAAACAAGGTTGCCAGCTTTATAATAGTTCATGCGAAAGAGGAGCCCCCCTCAACAAAACAGAAACTAGAAAGGATCCGACTAATCCCGAGTAACAAAACACGAGGTGCAGGTTGATTCCTCCCAACCCTTACCCCTAAACCCTAGACCTTCGAGCTTGATCTATTTTTGGATTCAGGATACACGGCCTTGCGTTTGGGGCTTGTCATTGGCAAAGGAGTGTGGTTTACGGACATCTTCTTCGAAAACTTACTGAAAGCTTTGTCTTGGGGAGAAGCAAGTCCTACATGTTCAAGAACTCCTTCCGGGAAGCGCCGGGAAGACCCTTGCTTCGTTTGAAGTGCCCAAGCAGGACCTGCTTAAACCCTAAACCCCAAAACCCCAAACCATAGACCCTAATCCCTACACCCCAAACCCTAAACCCTACACCCTATACCCTAGAGAAGGACTAAGACTTCAATGACGGGAGCCATTTGGAAACCGATTCCTCGCAATCAGCTTAGGACGGGGGAGCGGGGCTTCTGCAATCGCTGGCTGCATCACCACAGAAATACAGTAGAAGCGCAAAAATTGGAAAACCAATAGCCTCAATCTTTAAGAGCAATGCACAGAGAATCCCAGCACTGACTAATTGTCCTTAGCTGGGTGTCCAACTTTTTGGGGTTTACTATGGTCAAATCTCACCATGAAGAGCGACTGGGGCTGGAGCGAAGGATACGGGCTCCCAAATTGAGTGAAACAGGGTTGCTACGTGAGATCCTTCAAGGCCTAATTACTCTACGAATCCTGTAATAAGGGGTCCTTAAGGGTAGGGATCCTTTGATTCCGGCTTACTGGGATCCTTAAGGGTAGGGGATCCGACAATTCAGGCTTAATCCTTAAGTCCTTACTTGGAGGGTCGGGGACTGAGAAAGTAGACTTAGAAGTACCCTAAAAGGGACCCTAATTCGGGTTATGGTACTTATAAGTCCTTAAAATAACCAGTTACTAAGTCCACCGACCCTCCAAGTAAGGGTAGGGGAGGGGTATTGGCATCCCTTGCCCTGCTGCAAGCCACCCCTAACTGGATGATACTGCTGACGGACAAAATCCTGCATGACCCTAAGGACTCTAAACTATGGGAACTATGGTATATTCCTTATAATGGGTAATGCAGGATTTTGTCCATTATCCGTATAAACCCCATACACGCGGATTTCCCGGAATCAACCCTTAGCCTTTAAGAGCCCCCCACCCCCCAAAGCCTCAAAAAAGGCGCGAAAGCCTAAGGAAGCACCCGAACCGAAGCATCCTACCCTATTATTACTTATCGGAACAGAAAGGAAAAACCTGACTGACTGGGGCGATCCCACACACCCGAGGACCCCGCGAATCCCAAGACTTTACCTAGAGGCTCCACATACAGTACCGTTATGGAAGTAGGTTGCAAAAACCATAATAAGAATGGTCTTTTGGGGCCTGATTCCATAGTGGCACTAAACATGGAGCATCTGGGTTAGGGTACAGGAACATTAAGACGAAGACTCGTCTTCGTTTTTGTGGGCATGGTTTCTTTCGGAGCCCTTTACTTGAAGGCTCATGGGACTTAGTAAGTAGGTTATAAGTAGAGTTATAAGTACCCTAAATGGAGATACCCCAATTATAACCCTGCTTATAACCTACTTACTAAGTCCCCTGCCCCTCCAGGTAAGTGTGGCAAACCCGCCTGTCATCTCGCTCCGCGTGGCCGCGGCTTCTGTTCGGGGCCTGCAAGGGGTTGGCTCCGGCCATCAGCACGGAGATTTATGATGTACCCAAAGGCTCCTTATTATGGTTTTATAAGGGCCTAATTCCATAAGCGGCGTATGTATAGAGCCTCTAGGTTACCGCTAGAGGCTCCAGATACAATGCCATTATGGAAATAGGCCCCTAGAACCCTGATAAGTATGGTCTTTTGGGGGCTAATTCCATAATGGTACTATATATAGAGCCTCTAGGTTAGGTAGGGCTTATGGTCGGTAGAGCATGCATCTGCATAGGTCAATGACTAGGATACCCAGTAACCTTAGAATAAACAGGCCTCTCTTTTTGGTATTGGGTAACTTTATAAGGAACCTAGGACTACAAAAAGGGAATAAGGGTACTACAGGGCCTCCTAGATGAGACAGTCCGGCCAATGATTCCGGGGCATGGCTGCTTTGAGCTGCGAGTGCATTTTCTGGAAGACGTTCGGGTACTTGAAGGCTCATGGGACTTAGTAAGGGTTCTTAAAGGGCTCCTTACAGGAATCTATAAAGCTCCTTAAAAGGGTTCTATGGGGTTTAGGGTTTAGGGTCTACTTGAAGGATCATGGGACTTAGTAAGTAAGGTTATAAGTAGGTTATAATTAGGACAACCCACTTAGGGGACTTATAACCCCAATTAGAACCTACTTACTAAGTCCCATGATCCTCTAGGTAGTCCACACCTTTTGCTTGCAGAGGTTGAGACCCTCCTGTCTCCAATTCTGCCGTTTTTGAGCTTCAGTCAGTTTCCGCCTCTTCGGCTCCGGCTGATTAGGATGTGCGGCCTCGTTCCCGTCATCTAAACCCTAAACCCTGAATCCTAAACCCCAAACCCTAAACCCTAACATGAAAAGACTTAAGTTTCTTGGCTTTGGGCGTGAGCTTCGGAGTTCCGGGCGAAGAGATGTATAGCCGGGTTTATAGGTCATACCTGTAGCCCCCGCAAACCCTACAACACTGTAGGTTATGACCCCTTAATTATGGATCCTGTAGCCCCTCCAAGCCCCACAACATAGTAGGTTATGACCCCTCCTGTAGCCCCTCCAAACACGACAAAATAGTAGGTCGTGACCCCTTAGTTATAGGTGAAAACTCTTAAGACAATAAGCTTTTGGATTTGGGATCTCACGGCAAGGCTCCAAAGGGCCTTACCCAAAGGGTCCTACGCTTCCATATAGTAGAAAAGTAGGGTGTCGAAAATAGGAATTGGCATTATCCCGGCTCCCAGCACGAAAAGGGTGCTTAAGGGTCGTCCTCATCTTGGATATCCCAAAACCTACGGCTTTCAGGGTTTACCTGTATCCCCAAACCCTACAAAATAGTAGGTTATGACACCGAAATTAGATGGCATAACCCTTGAAACAGAAGGTTTTTGGATCCCCAGGTATATAACCTTTTCACTGAGGGGCCCTACCCTAGCATCTTTGGGATTATAGGCCCCGAGTTTCTTAACTTATTGGGTTTTTAGATATGAATCCTGCTATTTTGGGGTTATAGGCCCCGAGTTTCTTAGTCAGGTTCCTACATTAACCTCTTAAGCCCCAAACTGTTGAAGGTTACCTACCCAGCCCCTAAGTAGCCCTCGCCTGATGTCCCCAACCCAAACCCTAAAGCCTCAACTCCAAACCCCACACTCCAAACCCTTAAAGGAACCCTAACCCTAGACACCCTATACCCTTAAAGGAACCCACGGTACCTTCCTGAAGTTGCCGCTCCAGAGCCATGCGCTCCTGACGCACTTTCTCAAGCCTCCGACGTCGGCTTGTTTAGGGTCTGGAGTTTAGGGTTTGGAATTTAGGGTGCAAGGTTTAGGGTTCTGACCCCCCTCCCCTAAGGATACCATAAAAATAGCCCGCTTTAGCCTACTTGACGGGTATCATGGGGAACTAAAGGTTGACCGTCTTGGTTACTATACCACCCAAAAAGGTTAAAGGTTGGCTACTCTACTACTGGGTTAGCTTGCCGCCATGTGGGAGTTTCCGAAAATGGAGGACCCTAATAACATAGTACACTAAATAGTAGGATTCTTATCATAAGGACCCCAAAATAAGGTACCCCTAATTTTCGGAAACGCCCATGTCCCAATCCCTGAAGGCTTGAATGATCCTGGGTTAGGATCCTGGAGCTTCAGGAGTAGGGTTTACTTTGAATGCCAATACTCCGATGGAGCCCTATATGTAAATGTGTGTGTGTATAATATATATATATATGTGTAAATATATTTATGTATGTATTTACTTGTTTATACTTATTATTAAATACACCTACTTAGTATAAGAGGTATCTGCCCACCCAAGCCCCGAGAACTACTACTATATACTACGCGTATATATATATATATATATATAGATAGATAGATAGATATGCCCACCCAACCCCCGAGAGCAATAAACAAACACAAAGTACACCTAAATCCCGGACATCTCTCACATCGGAGCCCTTATACGAAAACCGGAGGCTTCGATGCTGGAAGGATCTTGAGACGTAGCCCAAACCATGAACGGACAGTTTAGGGTTTAGGGAACGGCCGTATGAAGCCCTGTAGAAACCTTACAGAAATTAACCCCTGTGTTGCCCTGTACAATGGAAAAACACCTAAAACATACCTAAAACACATCCTACCCAGCGTGCCCTATCCTGCCTCTGCTCCAATTCGGCGACAGTACCACTCTTCGCAGCTCCGCTCTTGGGGTAAAGGCGCGCCTGACTCACAGGGTGTCTTCGGGATTGCCTAGAATAAGCAGGTGGTTCAGGCCTCGTTTCCCAAAGAGTCCTCGGTAGGGTTACGGGGGATACTTCCCCAAATCATAGAGTTTATCTTTAGGCTTAGCATCTTTGTTGTCTTCTTGGTGGGTCAGGGCGCAGGATTTCCAGGTTTCAAGCTCTTGCGGCGCTGGGATTTGGAAGGTGAGGGAAGCCCTATAAACCGTCATTATTAAACGGTTTATAGCGTTTGGGGAAAGGCATCTCCCTAAGGGTTCCTGACCCATATAGCATATACTTTGGGCCCAATGTACCTATTCAGGGAGTACTTTAAGGCCAATGTATATACAATATGAGTACATGGACTCTTATAGGGTCTCGCAGGGCCGTGAAGCACGATCTTGCTGCGCTAGTCTTGTTTTTGCTCCGCTTGCGCAAGGGTCTGGCGGTCTTACACACCCTAAGGGTCCCAGGTACTGTTCTGAGGGGTCATTCAAGCCCTTTGCAAGAAAATTGTTACCGTTGTGGTTCTCTACAAAATCGTCGGGGAAATTAAAAAGATCCCACAGGACAATCCAGTGGTCCCAAATCATAGTAAGGATTCCTAATATAGAAACCTAGCTTTCTACTATGTAGGTACTCAGGACCCTTTGGAAACTGTGATCAATTGACCTGATCCATGAGCGGCACCATGGAGAGTTCCTGCTGGCTGCGCAGTTGCAGCCGCTGTTCCGCAGATGCTGGGACGTACTGTTCATCTCCGTCCCCAGGGAGCCACCTGGAGACATCCACCTCCCAGTACGCGTAGCCCTTCCTCTCCAGCCAGGCGACCTCCGCTCTCTGGGAGTTGCCGAGGCCCTCTGAGGTGGCTAGAAACTCACGTTCTGTCTTCGAGAGAGAAGCAAGGAACAGGCGTCGAGCTTCACGGCTGTACTGGGAGGACCCGTCACCACGTGGCTCCCTGGAGAGGTTGCCAAGACCTGCGTCCAGCGCCTGCTTGAACTCGGGAGACTGCTCGAAGCCTTTTTGTCTGCTGTTCAACTCTTCCCTCTGGAGGTTCTCGTCGCCTGCTGTGTCGAAGCTCTTCACCTTGCCTTTGCCCACGCGATTCGGTAAGTAATAGACTTCAAGCTCTGCCCCGGATTCCACCGCCGTTTCGATGTTCTGCCTCCATTGTGTAAACCATCTACAGCCCCACAGCTGCTCCTCCCCGTAGAGTGGCGTGCACCAGCATCTGCCCGGCAAGCCTTCAGCCAAGGGGATGCTGTCGTGTGCTCCATAGTCGTCTATGCCCCAAGGGAGGAAGACGACAGCTGCGCTGACCTCGCCACGCCGGGTCTGTGACACCAGGGATTCCCACGCTCCTTCGCACTTCCCGGGCCAGCTGGCCACGCAGGGCCGCCCGCGTTCTCGTATGACGCTGCCATCGAAGTGGATATTTCGGCTATTGATCTCCCTTTTGGCTTCGTTTCTTCGCTCTACCTCTCTATCGCTTCTGGAGGCAAGAACCAGGCGTAACAACAACCTGCCGCCCCAAAGCAAGGGCACAGGCCACACGATGGCTGCAGTCCACCCGAATCCTCGCTCTGTGTGCTGGGCCGTCATCCAGGCCAGCAGGGCCAGTCCAATGAGCCCCACCAGCCGCCAGGCAATGGGGATTGGGAATCTGCACTCTCCAAAATCGACGCACCTGGAGTGTTCGGAACCGACTGCAACAACGAAGAGAGTAAGGCTGCAGCAGAATGGCACTGTGGCAATCGCCAGCAGTGCAGCCGCAATGGCGCTTTCGGCCGGGATGATTGTGCAACAGAACAGCACAAGCAATGGAATGACACCAAAAACAAGAACCGTGCTCCAACCGATCTGTTGGATCGCTGCGTCCTTCTGCTTCTGGGCTTCCTCCCTTCGCTCTCCTCTGGGTTCTTGTTTTGGGATTTAGTAAGTAATTAGGATACAAGTAGGGTTGTAATTGTGGTAACTCCATTGAGGGTACTTTTGACTCTACTTAACAAACCTACTTTCTAAGTCCCCTGCCCCTCCAAGTAGACCCTAAACCCTAAACCCCATATAGATCCCTTTAAGGAACCCTATAGATCCCTTTAAGGAACCCTATAGATCCCTTTAAGGATCCCTTTAAAGGGGCCCTGCGGTCTCCTTCGCGTGCTAACTGCCGGGCCTCGCCTCGATCCCGGCGCTTTGCCTCCCGGCTGAAAGACTCGAAATCCAGCGAGGCCCATAACTTCGTTCCTGAGCCAAGACCCCCCCAAGGGCCCTTTATAGGGACCCAAAAACGCACATAAGCATAAGCATTTTATAGGGATATCCCTACCTTAATGGGCTTCATTGTAAGGGGGTTTATATGGGATATCCCTATCCTAATTTTTGCTTATGTGCTTTTTGGGTCCCTAACTTTAATGGGGCCTTATGGCGGTATTTGGGGTATCATGGAGGGTAGCTGGGGGGTCCAGGATTAGCACCGTTATGATAAAGTTTACACTTCTTCCTGGTACTATTGGGCTTTAATAAGGGAACCCAAAACGAAAAGGGCAAAAGGCTAATGCTCAGGAACCTAGTGCATGGACCGGCCCCTATAGATCCCTTATGGGACCCTTTAAGGATCTCTTATAGAACCCTTTGAGAAACTCTTTATAGAAGGGTAATACTCGATAACCTAGAAAATGCCGAGGAGCCACCGGTAGCCTGGTAGCTGCCTTTCACCTCTGGGCTTTCTCGCAGTCGAACTTCAACAAAGGAGACCTCGCCATCCGACACGCAGACATCGCAGGACTTCTGGGGATACACAACTTTCCAGTCCTCACTCTGCAGCTTCATTTCGATGGGGCTTTGAAGGTCGTTCGTCACGGCAAAGCCAGCCATGGCGCCGCTTCGGCAAGAACCCTAAACCCTAAACCCTAAAAAACCCTAAACCCCTAAACAATAAACAAGGCGTTCACGGTCCAGAGCTCCCTTGGTTACAGCCCCTGGATACAGGAAATAGAGCTTGAACTGTGTGGAGGGCTTCTCTTATTATACCTTAGCCCTGGATAACCTACCTTTTTAAGGACTTATATAAGGAAATCAGAATAGGGAACCCTAAAAAGTCTCCTTAAAGGGAACTCCAGAAAGTTGGAATATGGTTTCAGGGTAGGATACCCTATAATTTACCATAAAGGGTTTAGGATAATCATATTCCAACTTTCTGGCTTTTACTTCTCATGTAAGGCATATTGCTTGAATAGCTGTTCATGGCAAGCTCCTAGAGTCTCTGTGGGCATAATTATTTAAGATGATTGCAGCTATGGATATGGATACCACTGTCGGGGACCAAAATGACCACGTGTCAAGCAGCGCCACTATGATGCTTTCAACACAGCTGGAGCCAGCATGTCAGCTTACAAGCACCGAACACGAGGAGCACCGCATCCCTCTCCGCGCGTCTGGAACAGCCGTCCAAACACCTCCTTGCTTCCGAAGGGCTGTAGCCTTTTGGAAGCATGCGGTGGCCATCCCACACCACACTTAAACCCATCCTAATCCATCCTACAAGACCTCGTAGAGCCTGTACAGTGGGAGGAGGGGCTCGTTTGTCAGCATTGGCATTATGCTATATTAGCCTGAAGCCCAAACCCAAACTGACCCAGCGATCCCAAACACCCACAGGTGGGCATCCGCAGCCTCGACGTACTTCTGCTGAGAGGCGTGAGTTCGTATCAGATCATGACCTTCCGCAAACAACTCACACGCTCTAAAACCGTCCCGAATCTTGGGAAATATGGGCGGGCTATGAGATAGATAGACGGATAGATACGCTAGGTAGGTAGGTATAGATACCTGCTTGCAGGTCCCGAGGGGCTGTTGCGTCATATAAAGCTTTCATACAAGTTGTGTTTTTGGTGTGGTCTTAAGAAACTTCCTGAGGGTACATGTGAACAAATTGTACATGCATTTGCCCCGAAAAGTGGATGTATGTGTATATATATATATACATATATATGTGTATATGTGGATTACTTGAGTTTAAGGCCAAAGTATTTACTTTTTGGGTACATGGACCCTTGGACGGGAAAGGCCGCTGTAAAAAAAAGGCCCCGAAGCTGCAAGCCTAAACTTTAAACCTCAAGTCCTCCGTGCCCTAAGGCTCCATGTACCCATATAGTAGGTACTTAGGCCTTAAAGGGGTCCCTATATGGGTACTTTAAGGCCTAAGTACCTACTATATGGGTACATGAGCCTTCGGGGTGGACATGAAGAAGCTGAACCCCTGAAGCACCCCCCAAACTGTCAGAGTCATGCACAGAGGGCAGGAAATCCCACCCGCACCCTGCCACCCTTAATGTAGGAGCCTTTGGGGGGGGGGGGGGATAAATACATAAATGTGTATATATATATATATATATATACATATACATATATATATATATATATATATTGATATGATAAAGAGCCAGCAGGGATAATGGTGGTAATTATTGAAGCTTCTATAGTAAAACCCAAACCCCAAAAGCAAACCGGGGCTCAATCATGTAGTAGATTCAGCACATACCCTAAGGCTCCATGTACCCATGTAGTATATACTTAAGCCTTAAAGTACCAGGGACTACTTTGGGACTTAAGTATCTACTATAAAGGTACATGGAGCCTTTGGGATAATATAGTGCCTAACATGGCCCGCAGGAGTACAGGAGACTGCCGCTGACGGACAAACTCCTGCCTTCAGTTCCCGAAACTCTGGGAGCTTGACGTGACGACTTTTTATGGTTCAGGGTTTAAGGTTCAGGGTTTAGGGTTTCTAGGATGCCCAATAACCTAGGAATACAAGGGCTCCTTTTTTGGCATTGGGTGAATTTCTAAGGAACCTAGGGCTACAAGAAGGGAATAAGGGTACTACTGGGCATCCTAGCATTCCTTTTTGTCGGTACTGTAAGTTTTGTCATTCAGCCGTACTACCAGATTACTAAATACTCCGGCCCCGGGTATAATCCTGAACGTGCTCGAACCCGTCTGAAAGCAGAAGCTTCGTCGATGGCCTCGGTTGGCCCAGAACTCCTTGCACCGCATGGGCCATCATGCTTGCAATTGCTTTGTCGGTGTATGGTTTCTCGTAACAAACTAAAGTAGAAGCCAGAAAGTTGGAACATTGCTATCCTCATGCCCTGAATCTAAAGCAAAGGGAACACCAGTTAATACCAGCACAAATCATCCCAAATCTATGTTCCAACTGTTGGGGGTTCACTGTAAACTTCGGATCCCGAAAGGAGCGGTAGGTTTAGGGTTTAGGGTTTGGGGTTTGGGGGTTTAGGGTTTAGGGTTTAGTTCAAATCAATCAGGCTCACATCTCCGGGTGGTTGTTTTGCTGCTTTCTTCTTGCAGGTGTGCCTTTCGGGCTTCACATCTTTGGGTTTGTGGTCTAGGAATTAAGGGTTGCTTTAAGGGGTTCCTTTAAGGGGTCTATAAGGCATGGGGTTGAGGGTTCCTTTAAGGGGTCCTTTGAATCTTTAAATCCACAGTCCAAGGCCTCAGGCGGGTTGCTTTGCCCACGCGACCTTAACCCTGAATAATCTACTTGGAGGGGCAGGGGGCTTAGTAAGCAGGTTATAAGTAGGCTTTTAATTGGGGTAACTCCATTTAGGGTACTTATAACTCTACTTATAACCTACTTACTAAGTCCCCTGCCCCTCCAAGTACCTTTTCCCTGAGGCTCCATATATGCGATTGATGATATAAATCCTGCATTACCTGAAGGACCCTACACCATGGGAGTTATGGTATATTGATTATTATGGGAAATGCAGGATTTATATCATCAACCCTAAACCCTAAACCCCCTATAGATCCCTTGAAGGGCCCCTTAAAGGTACCCCCTATAGATCCCTTTAAAGGAACCCCAGGATTTATATCATCAACTGTAGGTCCCCAAAAGCATATTATGGATGGACTTTTGGGGCCTAACTTCCCTCATGGTACTATGTATGGAGCCTCTGGGTAATCTACCTTTTCAGGGACTCATAGTATTTCCGGAATTCCACGACCACCCTACTCTCAACCACACTTACCGAAGCTTTGACGGTTGCTTATATAAGGAAATCATACTACGCGGCCGTAAAGAAGGAAGAGGTTTCTACGGTCCAAGTAAACCCCGACTCCAGCCCCAAACCCTTTAGGGTTTAGGGTTTAGGGTTCAGGGTTTGTTATGACCACGTAAGTTTCGGGCATATCCCTTATCATAGTAGGCTGCTGGGTCCAAAGACACTCCGAATCTCCTAAACCTTAAACCCTCGCCGTAGCATTAATAGAACCCTTCAAGGAAGCCCGATAGCTTAAACACTATATTATATTGTATACCTGGGAAAGCTGCGAATAGAAAGCCGCTGCAGTACCGAAGTTACGTATCCCCCCACTCGTATCCAAAATGAACAGGGCGTAGATGTACTACTGGAACAACTATAGTTCAGAAACGACACCAAATCAGTTGCAAACTGGTATATTGGCTTAAACTACCCTAAACCCAAAAACCTCCAATTATACCCTAAACCCTACAACACTAAACCCTAGGACATCTTATCGGGTTTGGGGTCTCTTGGTTCTTTCGGAAGTCCCGTACTTCTTGGGCTTACAACTTCATGCTTCGTGTTCTATAAACCTTAACCTACCGGATGCTCGGGCTTGGGGCTTGTGCCTTTTAAGAGCCCTTAAAAGAACCCCAAAACGATATAAAGTAAAGATACTTGGAATATGACTGCAATGAATACAAAGAAACAGTCCCTACATGCCCTTCGCCCTTAAGCTAGGATGCCTAGTAACCTAGGATAAAAGGGGCTCCCTTTTTGGTATTAGGTAACTTGATAAAGAACCAAGGACTACAAAAAGGTAATAAGGGTATTACCGGGTATCCTAGTAAGCGAACGCATATATGCCCTTCTTAGAGGGCCATGGGACTAAGTAGCTAGGTTATAAATATCATATTTATAAATTCTTATATATAATCCCCAATTAGGGTACTTGTAACCTTACTTACTAAGTCCCCTGATCCTCCAAGTAGACCCTAAACCCTAAACCATAGATCCCTTTAAGGAACCCTTTAGATCCCTTTAAGGAGCCCTTTAGGTCCCCTGATCCTCCAAGTTGTTGGGGTCCGTCCTCGTCGGATTCGGGCACCAGGCGTGCCTTCTGCTTGTCGGAGACCTTTGACTGCTTTTCCCAAAGGGTCCTAGGTGCTGTTATGGGGGATACTTCCCCAAATCATAATAGTAATTCCTGAGGTGCTGTTATGGGGGATACTTCCCCAAATCATAATAGTAATTCCTGAGGTGCTGTTATGGGGGATACTTCCCCAAATCATAATAGTAATTCCTAAGGTGCTGTTATGGGGGATACTTCCCCAAATCATAATAGTAATTCCTAAGGTGCTGTTATGGGGGATACTTCACCAAATCATAATAGTAATTCCTAATATAGAAACCCGACATTCTACTATAAAGGTACTTTGGACCCTCTGGGTTTACAGGCGCAAGACTAAGAGCCTAGGGTCCTAGGGTTTAGAGTTTAGGGCTTATAGGTTTGAGGGTTCTACATTCAGCTAGAGGGGCTATATAATGTCGAGGCTGCTGGCACGAGAACTTGAAAAAAAGACTGGCTCCGCGTCTTACATATCCTTAAACACCACATGACCCTTAAAAGTAAGGGCACTATACCCCCTTTCCCATGAATCCCTTTGTGGTATCTCAACCTTAAGCCTTTTTCGGCTTCATGCCGTAGGGGTCTTGCTTCTTCGTCACGTTATTATATAGGGGACTTAATAAACTAAATAGAACACGAGTTTTGGGCCCCTATATAGTATACTTATAATCAGGAACCTTAAGGAATAAGATAGGCGATTA